GCACCTCCTGGAGGAGCTGCGGAGCCCTCACCCTGCCCCCCATGGGAACCAGAGCTTGGCCAGGCCCCAAGGACCAGGCAGGCGGGGGAGGGGGCTGGGGGAGCTTAGGTCATGGAAGGGAGCAAGGCAGGGCCTGCCAGGCCCAGGGCCGGGGCTGGGTCCCTCCCGCACCAGGGGAAGCCGCACCCCTCACCGGTTCCCCCAGGGCAGAGCCGGGAGGGAGTCGGGAGGGAGCCGGGGTGGGTGGCACTGGTGTGGACGCATAGGGCGTGTCGGCGGCCATCCCAGGCGCTCCCCACAGATCTGGGATCAGGGGGCTTGGTCGCCCAACTTCACACCCCGGCAAGGTGCTGGGAGGCACCCTGATGGGTCCCCCTGAGGACCTGCCGGGGTTCTAGGAGCAGCCTGGGGTGGGACCAGCCCCGCTTCGCTGCTGCTGCAGCCGAGGACCCCGGAGGGCGCGCTCTCTGGGGAGGCGCCCAGGGGGCCCAGACCTTGCGGGGGGGGGGGGGGAGTCAGCTAGACAAAGGGGTGTGGACAGAAACGGGGCGGGGTGGGGGGGAGTTGTCTGCAGAAAGCAACCCAGCAGGGCCCTGATCCTACCTCCCTAAGTGGGCGGTGCGGTGGGCAGTCAGCCCCAGGCCTGAAAGGCTTCTCTTTGCCTTCAGCCCACCCTTCCATTGTCTTGGGCAACCAGGTCAACACACCTGTGAAATGCCCCTTTGGCTCCGTCTTCTAAAGCGTGACCAGGCTCTTAGGCCCTGGCCAGGTTTTTCCGTAGTTTGGAGCTCCGTTCCATGCACCCAAAGGTCGGGGCTCACTTCCTGGTCAGGACACATACCTAGGTTGCAGTTCGATCCCCCGTTGGGGGGCATGTGGGAGACAACCGACCGGCGTTGGTCTCTCACCCTCCCTCTGTCTCCGAAATCCATAAGCATATTTTTTAAAAAGGGCGCATGAGCACCGCCCTGGAGAACATTCTGTGACCTGCGCCGGCCCCCCACCCCTGCCTGGCTCTCTCCCACCTCCACGCGAAGTTCCTTACGTTCCCTTCTTAGTCCCAAATGCATAAAAGAAGCCGCAAAAGTGTCACTTCTGGGAAGCACTGGAGAGCTTGCCTCCGGGCCGTGTCACCGTTTGGCACAAATAAGTCTCATAAAAATGCTCTGCTCAACAGGCCTGGACGTTTCTTACGTCAGCAGGAGCGGGGGGTCTGTTGTGTTCAGGCTGCAGGTCACCAGGCCCAGGGGTGGGAGGTGGGGGTGGAGGGTGGAGGGCCCTCAGGCGAGGACTGACCGGAAGAGGGGCATCCTGGGCTGGGCGGGGGGCCTGGCTTTCATCTTAAGACAAGCCAGGGCCGGCGCCCTGGGGGGCCCGCAGCCCCGCAGCCCCGCAGCCCCAGGTTGGCTGCTATTACGAGGGCTCCCGCCCGCCAGGGACAGGCTCTGGCAGCGCTGACCTCCGACTCCTCCCAGCTCGCGGCCCACTTCGCAAAACCAAGGCCCCCTGTCGGCCGGGCCCGGGGTGAGGGGCTCTCCTATGCTCTGGTGGAGGCTCTGAGGCTGGGGGGCAGTGCCCAAGTTGGACGCACCCCCGCCAGCGTCCAGACGGACGTCAGGCCGTTTGCCCCACGGAGGGTCTCGGCCTCGTCCTCCTGAACATCCTGGCTGCGTGTGCTTTCTGCGGGGCCCAGCCGGGCCATCCGGGTTCACACTGCCCTGGGGGGGACAGAGAGCCGAACGGGGGCCCCGGGGACCAGGGCCAGCGCTGGCCAGCTCAGGCCTCTGGCACCCAGCTCACCGAGCCTGCCTGCATGCCTCCCGCACACCAGGATGCTGGGGGGCGCTCTGGGGGGCACACAGGGGTCAGAAGGCTCCCAGCAGGGGGACCAGGCAGTGCGCAGGTCCAGGGTCCAGACTGTCTGTTCTGGGTCCTTTGAGGTCCCCCAGGACCACGTGCCCAGGAGGCCAGCAACAGGGAGGGGAAGGCACACTCCTTCCATAGCAGCGAGAGGCCTGTCCTCGGCACGCTGGCCCCAGCCCTGGAGCTGCCGGGCACTGGGCTGGCTCCCGCCGAGAACTGTGCGGCCGCAGGCTGTGGGGGAGGGGTCCAGGCTGAGAGTGGCCAGTAGAGGCCGAGGCGCTCCCGCCCGCCTGTCCTGCTGGTCTACGGCTGCCTGAGGAGGCTGCTTCCAGGCCCTTGGGCCCGGCTGTCAGCAGCCCCCGGAAGCAGCCTTGCCCTGCTCCCGGCTGCTCTGCCTCACGCCTGCCCGGGGTGGACACGCTCACCCGCTGGGTTCCCTGGAAATGCGCCGGGAAGGAATGGCCGCCCCCCAGCATCACAGCACGAGCTCCCTGCCCCCTTCCTGCTGAGACAGGCATGGGCCAGGAAACCACGGGCGCCTGTGGCCTTTCCCGGGAGGACAGGGCCCAGGGTCAGAGTCGGACCGGGGACTGGAGGCCCAGTAGGCACAGCCACCGGCACCGACCAGGAGCACAGGGACGCCCCATGCGGCTGTTTCCGGGGAGCCCCCGGCTGAGCCAGGTGCGCCCATGCCTGGCCTCCCACCTGCCCTCCAGATGGGCAGCAGGGCCCCCGGGAGGCTGCTGCAGTGGAGTGGAGTGCCGGAGACGGGACGTCCTGGGCACCCACCGGCCGGGACCGGGTGTGCCCCTCTGGGGACTCAGGGTGGAGCCGGGCTTCCGGATGTGGGGAGGCCGCGAACGGCGGGCCAGCTCCCCCCCTGCTGCTGACTTGGAGCTCTCGACTCACCCCTGGAACTTCTGGCCTCAGTTTTCCCATTCTTAAGTAGGAAAGGAGGCCCGGAAGTGTGAGGAAGGCAGGGGACACACTCACTGGTCCGCTCGGGGACAACGTGGGCAGCGGGGGCAGAAGTGGGCAGAGATGGGACAGGCCCCCCCCGCCCATGTCACCCCCTCCCCGGCTCCCCTCGTTCTCCGTGCCGCCCCCTCCCTGGCCGGGCGCAAAGGCACACAGTGGGGCCGGCCGGCGGGGGCATCACCTGCCCCTCTGCCCCCACTCGCCACCCCACCAGCCCCCAGTCGCTCCCCGGCGGCCGTCGGGCGCTCCCACCGCTGGGCGCTGCGGCTGACTCAGCGCATTCTCGGGCAGCTGCCCCTCCTGTCTGCCCCGCAGCGCAGGCCTGGGCGCTACGGGGCTGAGAGGGCGCCCGCCCACCCCCTCTGCCCCTGGTTCCTCCGGGAGACGTGGGGAAGCCTGCCTAGGTCAGGGGAAGGGGGTTCCCAGGCTGCAGCCCCAGGCTGCCAGGGCGCCCGCTGTCCAGAGGAGGCCGGGGGCAGGCGTGGACGGCTGTGCTGTGCCAGATGTGGCAGGACACTCACGGGCAGGCCCAGTCCCCCACCCGGGACAGCGCCTGCCCAGAGGCGGCTGTCCTTTGCAAGGGATCATAAATTAGCTCCTGAGCCGGCCTGTCTGGTGACTCCGGATTCCTCCACGTCTCCTGCCCACCCTCCGAGCGGGCCCTCCCCCACTCAGAGCTTCCCCGGCAAAGGGAACTCAAAGTGAAGTCAGAGCTACGGAGTTGGGGCGGGCGGGGAGAGGGAGGATCATTCCCACTGTCCGGGTCCCCACTCCAGAGAGAGCAGGGGACGCCCAGCCCCTGGAGATTCCCGGACTGCAGGAGGCCGGGTGCAGCCAGAACGTGTGGGCGGTGGTGCAAGATTCTGGGAGCAGCTGCCGGGCAGGACCCCCGCCAGGCCCGGCTGGATGCGGCCCCATGAACTCACTCGGCCCCCAGGACTGTCCAGGGGGTCCCACGTGGGGGCAGAAGCTCAGCTGGCCTGGCTCAGAGAGTAGGGGAAGCTGCCAGCCCAGCAGCTGCGACCCCATCCCCACCCCCTCGGGCTTCCCTTGAGACAAACACGGGCCGGCGCCTCCCCAATGCAGAAGCAGCTGGGATGAAGCGGGAGCTGGGCTCTGGGCTCTGTCCCGTTTCCTGGGCCTCCTCCTGCGCCCTGTGCTGAGCAGGAGGGTTGAGCCTGGCGGGCGAAGTTGGGGTCCACGCTGCCGCCAAGCACAGGTGCTGCCTGGCACAAGGGCGGGCTCACCCCCCCTGCCAGCAGGTGCTGGATAAGGGTCCTGAACAGTCAGCCCTCCTGGCACCCACAGGCCACAGACACCCTTCCTGCGCTGTGTGGCTGGGCACCGGGCCGGTCCCTCCTGACCCACTTCCCTGTTTTAGAGCGCTTTAAACCAGAGTGGTCAGAGGGGCGTGAATGAACGCGACCTGGAAGCACGGATCCCTCTGCAGATGGATACCGACCAGGGCCCCCCTGCCCCCCCACGCGGCCACTCATGAGGTGTGGAGCGCACCTTCTCAGCCACCTGCAAGAGGGGCCAGATGCAGGGGCAGCAGCGGGGGAACAACCGGAAACCGGCCTGGGGAGCGGTGCTAGGCCGCACGGGGTCTCCGGAGGGCACCCTCTCCAGGAGGTGGGGGCGGGGTAGTCAAACGCCTGGGATCCCGAGCGGCGGTCGCTCAGGACGCTGTGCCCTTTGAGGGGTACGGGGGGAGGGGACGTGCAGGGCGGTTGAGGGACAGATGTCCGGGCCGGCGAGGGGCCAGCGTGCCCAACTCCTGGCCGCCGAGCTTGCGCCCGGACCGCCGGGGGCGCTCGGCCGCGGAGAGGTGCCCGAAGTTATGAAAACAAAGAGCGGAGCCTCTAGGCTGGGACTAGCCGGGCGGGTGCGCCGGGGACAGGGGGCGCGGCGGGGCGCAGGTTGCCGCCCAGGACCCGAGCCACGCCCTGGGGGGCCTGGGCGGCCCTGCGTTCCCACGGCCTGGCCCGAGGCCAGCAGGTGCCCCTTCCGGAGGCTGGGGCCGGGTTCCCAAGGGTTAAGGCTGCCCGCGGCCCCGCCCCCTCCGCGGCCCCGGGACGCGGGTTCGGTCGCCCGGGCGGGCCGGGGCGGGGCCTGACGTCCGCGGGCGGAGCGATCCGGCCAGCCCCGTGCTCACACCCCACGGGGCTCCCGCGGCGCGCAGTCCCAGAGCGCGGGGAGCGCGGCCGGGCCTGCGGGATGGCGAGGTGGCGCCCCGCGTCGCCGCTGTGGCTGCTGGCCGGGCTGGCGCTCCTGGGCGCGTGCCGGGCGGCGGCAGACGGCGGCTTCAGTCTGCACCCGCCCTACTTCAATCTGGCCGAGGGAGCCCGCATCGCCGCCTCGGCCACCTGCGGCGAGGAGGCCCCGGCCCGCGGCGCCCCGCGCCCCACCGAGGACCTTTACTGCAAGCTAGTGGGGGGCCCCGCGGCCGGCGGGGACCCCGTCCAGACCATCCAGGTGAGCGGGGGCCGGGGACCGGGGACCCCGCACCGAGCGCATCGGGGTCGGGCTCCACGACTCCGGCCAAACTTGGCCGGGAACGTCCCGGGAGAGCCCAGGTACGGCCGAGGCTGCTGCTTTCCGCCCCTACTCTTTGGTTTCACATTTCGAAGAACCGAGGGGACCTCAGCTCGGCCCTTCGCGCTCTGCCCGACAACTGCGCGTCCCCACGCCCCCCGCCCTCCCCCCGGAAAGCGGGACGCAGCGCCCCTCTCGCGCACTGCGGGTCGTGGGACCCGGGGAGCTGGTGCCCGGTCTCCGGCGGCCCCGAGTCCCGGGATGCGGGCGAGGCGGGACTTGGCGGCGGCCCCCGGGCCTGCGGGGAGGGGGCGGGCCCGCTCCGCCCTCCCCCGGGACGAGCTGGAACCTGCCGCAGGCGCCCGGATGGGACTAGGGTGGGCCGGGAGGGGCCGACCGTGGAGGCACCCGCGCCAGCTGCCTGGGGCAAAGCCCTCCCCACGGGCCGAGGGGCTGGGCCGGACCTGAAGTCTGCATCGGGGGCAGCCTAGAGCAGGGACTTTTACTGGGGACGGGAACAGGGAGCGGCGGGCATGGGCTGCGTCTCTGCCCGGCGCACAGGTGGCGAGGTCTCCCTGGGGACCCTTCGGGGGCACAACCTCCCAGGCTGTGAGCCTGTAGGTGGGGAAGGCCCGGTGGCCCCACACCTGGACACACCCCGGGGAAGCAGGGCTGATGAGACAGGCCCTCGGGACAGGGTGGGTCCTGGGGTCCCAGGAGGCTCGTTGGCCGCAGGCTTCCTGGGGTAGCCGGGGGGGGGGGGGGGGCGGCTGGGGTCTGCCGTAGGGGCCCCTGGCACCCTGGGCTGCGCCTCGTCCCACTCCCGCTGCTCAGCCTGAAGGGGAGTCTGGGGGCCCCGGGGCCATGGAAACTGAGCCGCCTCCTCCAGGGCGGGGCCCCAGCCCAGGCCACCACCTTCCCAGCCCCACCGGCTGGGAGGGGGAGGGGCAGAAGGGCGTCAGGCTGTGCCTTCGCTGCTGTGCATTCACCGCGGTGGGCGCTGGAGGAGCGTGGCCCCCGCCGCAGCCCTCACTGCAGCCCTGGGCGCCCAGTGGAGGGGGAGCTGCAAGGGGCCCCGCGGGGCGCCCCCTTCCTGGGACAGAGCACGGCCTCCATGGGCCCCTCCTCTAACCCCCACGCAGCCACCTCCTGCCCCGCCCCCACACGGCTGAGAGGGGAGGCCTCAAGCCGATATTTCAGATGGGGAAACTGAGGCCTGAACAGGTGCAGGCACCTGCGGAAGCCTCGCAGCCAGACCCTGACGGGGCTGGGCGAGCGGTTTAGCCCTGGGCCCTGGCCCCTCGGGTTGACGTCAGAGGGGCCGGCCTCAACCTGGGGGTGTCCGAAGCTGCCCCCACGGCCCCGCTGGGAGTCTGCCCTGTAGGCAGTGGAGGCTCCAGGCCACCTCCCAGCCCCAGACCAGTCCTCCGCCGCCGCCCGCAGTGCCTGGCCCTGCCCCTGGGGGGAGGGACCCTGCACGCCTCTCCCCTCTGTCTCCCCTTGGTGGCGTGGTTCCCCCCAGGGCCTCAGTCTGCCCGTCTGTAAAATGGGCGCGGTGCGAGGGCCTGCCTCCCCTGCACGGGGAGCCGGGGCAGGGGTGGGGGGAACGACCGTCCGTCACTCCGGGACTGCTTGGCTGTCGGTGCCAGCCCTGGCGCCACGTGCCAGGGATCTGTCCCCAGAGGAGCAGCGTCAGCCTGCTCGCCCAGCCCACGGTCGAGCAAGAGAGGCCAAAGCTGTCCCCGGAAGCCGGCGGCCCTCAGCGACCAGCACCCCGACGCTGAGGCCACTGGGTGAGCCGTGGTTGAAGGACTGGCCGCCACGTGGACACCCATGTGACCTTGGATAAGTCCCTGGGCTGGCCAGCACGTCCGCCCTCTCCCCTGGGAGCAGGGGGTCGCCCGGCACCCTGGCCTTCAGCAGGGTTGGTGGTAGGGCCTTGTCCGCCAACCCCAGCTGGAAGCCAGTGGCCGGGCACAGGAGGTGCCAGAGAGGCGAAGCCCCCCCTTCCGTCCACCCGCAGAGCCCCCCTTTGTGCCAGCTGGGGGGTGGTCACTAAGGACGGGCCCACGGCCGCCAGCTCCCAGCTCCCAGGGGACCAAGGAGATAGGGCAGCAGCTGGCGCAGGGGTCCTAGCAGGGTCTGGGCAAGCCCACCGGGGCGAGGGGTTCCAGGCGGGCAGCCCTCCCAGCCTCAGGTGCGCGTGGGAGGGGTTCCGGGCTGGCCCTGGGGCCGCAGGGGAAGCCAGAGGCAAGGCCGCCGGAGCGGTGACTCATCGCTGCTCCCTGCTTCCTCACCGCCCCGGCAGGACCCTCTGCAGCTTCCCCGTCCCCGTGGCCCTGTCCCCAGGGTGTGGCAGCTCGGGGTGGGGGCTCAGAAACCCAGTGAGGAACAAGGCGGGCACGTCCCCCAACTCCGAGCTCCCCGCTCCTGGGAAGGCAGCGAACACAGAACCACCGACAGCCTGATGGTTGCGGGTCTGGAGGTAGAATAAATAAAGTGAGGGGTGCCCGGGGGTGTCGGGGCGGCGCCCCGGGTGGTCTAGAGCTGAGAGGGCGAGCTGCGGAAGAGGCACGTTTGAGCGGGGACGGCAGGCGATTGCGGTGCAAAGGCCCCAGCGGGAACGAGGCCTGAGGTGGGGACCCGGGCACCCGGCCCCAGGGCCCTGCAGCCCGCTCTGCAGCTGCGGGTCTCGCCCTCCCGGGTGCACAGCGGAAGCTGGGCGAGGGGGGGGCGTCCCACACTCCCACTTCCAACTCCCGCACCGGTCCTGCCGTGGCCGCCTTTCCCAGACGCAGCCTCTCGGGTTTCAATCAGTGCCAAGTCCCAGAGGGCCGCCTTTGTGTGCGGAGGGATGGCGGGCCTGCTCTCCTCCGGGGTGGGGGTTGGGCTGCACTGGGCCCACCGCCAGGGCCAGCCCTGCCCCCACCCCACCCTGGGCTCCCAGCACCTGCTCCTCCAGACAGGGACGGCAGGCCAGGATGCCGCTGGGAGCTGCCTGTCCCCTGGAGGACAGGCCCCTGGCAGGTGTCTGGACCGTGACAGACGCAGCTGCCAGGCCCGGGGTGGGGTGGCTAATCCTGGGACCGCTGAGGCAGGTGCCAGCGTCACCCCCACTCCTCGGACGGGGACACTGAGGCCTAGCAGCTGCCGTGACCTGGCTGGGCCCCAGGGCTCGGAAGCCGCAGAGCTGGGAGGTCCAGCTCTGCCTGCTGGCTGCCCCCCTGCCTCCGCTCGGCGCCTGTCCACGCAGGTCGCCGGAACGCCTTAGTTCTGTCTCTCCGCAGACCCTAATCCGGCGGCTTGGGGTGGGAGCCCGGCAGGGGTGGTGGGCGACGGGCTGTCGGAGGTGGGGAGCCAGCCTGGCTCTCCCGAGGTTCCAGGCCTCCGGGCCCCTCGCCGGCCAGGGATCCCGGGCTTCTGTGTGTCGGGGGCCTGTGAGTTGCCCCCGACCGACCCCTTTCCCCGCCCCCAGCTCCAGCGCCGCTGGCCTTCTCTCTCTTCGCCCCGCAGCTTCTCCCGCCTCAGGGCCTTTGCACGGGCGGCCCCTCTGCCTGGAGCCGCCTCCTCCGAGAGGCCCGCCTTGATCCCCCCACGTAGAGCGGGTGTTCCCCTGCCCCCCCCACTCTCAGTCCCCGCGTAACAGGGGCGACCAGCTGTCTCCGGCATCGTGGAGGCAGTGGGCTCGGCGACGAGTGAATGGATGGGCCGTGCGACCGCAGGGAGGGCGACTGGAGGCGGCCAGAGGCCCCAGCCCTTCCCGGCCGTCTGACCCCCACCCCCCACCCTCACAGGGCCAATACTGCGACATTTGCACAGCTGCCAACAGCAACAAGGCGCACCCCGCGAGCAACGCCGTCGACGGCACGGAGCGCTGGTGGCAGAGCCCTCCGCTGTCCCGCGGCCTGGAGTACAACGAAGTCAACGTCACTTTGGACCTGGGCCAGGTAGGGCCCCCTTTTGGCCCGCCACGCCCCCACCCCGTGTTTCTGGGCCTGGGGCTCCCTTTGGGGCGCAGGCTAGAGGGCGCGTCCCCACTGAGGGAGCTTCAGGCGCCAGCCGGGAGGCCGGCCCAGTCGGACGGAGGCACGGCAACAGGCGCCTCGCGTGTGTTCTTTCCACCTCCCCGCAGCGTAGGGAGGAGGTGGGCGCTGCTGGCCCACGGGCCACGGAGCGGGGGTGGGGGCGCTGAGGGTCTGCTCGAAGGCGGCCACACGCGGAGCCGGCTGTCTGCGGGAAGGCGCAGGGAGCCAGGCTCGGGCTTGCTGGGTGGGAGGGGCCGCAGGAATGTGGAGGAGGCTGGGGGGAGTGGGCATTCCTGGGATACCTGTGCCGCAAGGGCCGCCTCGGGGGTAGGTGTGTCCGCTCGGGCCTGTGCAGGCGGGAGGGGGAGGCCAGAGTTTTTCCGAGCATTGGAAGAGGCCCCCTTGGTGGACCCTGCGGGGCCGGGTGTGGGGCGTGTCCGCTCACTGTGGGACTTTGCACGGCTGCCTGGCCTTGGCGTCCTGGCCTGTGAAATGGACCGGTGACCCTGCTGCCTCCTGGGGCGTGGGGGGCGGCGGGTGAATGAGGCCGGGCCGGCTGCAGTTGGGGCTACAAGGTGCATCCTGCCAGACCCCACCCTGTTGGGGGCGGGGAAGGAGGTCGGGGCCAGAGTCCAGGCCGGCCTTGCCACTGCCCAGTCGTGTGACCCGAGGGCCTGCCCCCCGCCAAGCCTCCTCCCGCCGGGACCCTGGGGGTGGGAGGTCAGGCTGTGATGTGTCTCCCATAAATGCCAACTCGCGGGCAGGGTCGGGGTACAGCGTTGGGCAGGTACTTCCTGCCCTGGCTGCAGGCCGGGCCCCACGGTCAGGGGGGCAGTGAGGGGAGTGGGTTCAAGTCCTAACAAGTGGCCTGGAATTTCGGGGGCCCTGCCCTGGCTGTTACGCCTGCAGGAGAAGCAGCCCAGGAAGAACAGAGGGGAAGGGGCCCGGAGGGGTCGGGAGGGGCTGCCCCTCCCAGGTGCCCGGCCGGCAGGTCCCGGGTCTAGCTGGGCTTGGCCGCTCACGGGGTTTTTGCCATGTCCCTGCTCGCCTGCCTTCGGGGGGCCAGGGAGGAAGCCTCACAGCCCTGCGAGATCGGGGTTCCCTCTCCGGCGCTGCACGGCCGGTGGGGAAAGGGAGCCGCCCCCAGCCAGGGTCAGTCAGGGGAACTTGTGTTGAGCCGGTGGGCTCCTGCCACGCCGCCTCCTCCCCTCCCTGCGGGACAGGCCTGGCCAGGCTGGGGAGGGGCCAGGGCGCTGGCTGGGGGCACGGAGGTCCAGTCTCCACGGCAGCCCCAGAGTGGCCTCAGAGCAGGTGGGTGCGGTGCCCAGCCGAGGTGCAGCGGTGGGGCTCCCGCCCCTCCTGGCTCTGTGACCCCTGAGCTGCGGTGCCTACACCTGGGAGCCTGGCTTCGTAGACCAGTCCTGGGCCAGCGAGGGGCTCAGCGAGTGTGCGCCCTGCCTCTCCGAGCCTCGGCTTCCCCGCCTGTGACGGTCCGAAGGGGAAGGGGCCGTTCCCAGGTCTGTCTGGGCAGGTGGACCCACCGGCCCGCCTACCTACCACGGCCCCACCTTGGTTTGGACCGAGGGGCTACCGGCCTGAGTCTGGGTGGGGTGGGGGCGCAGGGTATGCCCACCCGTGTGCTTTGGAGTTGGGGGGCAGTGGGCCCCGATTCCAGCCCTGCGGGCAAGAAGGCCTTGGAGCCCAGGTGGGCTTCCCGTTGAAATGTGGGGAACGGAGCCCCCGGCCCGGCCCCCTGCGCCGCGGAGCAGTGGCGGGGTCCTCGGGGTTGGGGAGGGGACCGGGCCCTGCCCGCAGCACCTGGTCTGGGGCAGCGGTGCCCACGTGGGGCAGGAAGCACGGGCTCTGCGCCGGAGCACGGGGGGCACTTGGAGGCGCAGCCTGGAGCACGCCCGCCCGGGCCCTGGGGTCTGCGTCCTCACCTCTGCCTGGGTCCGCCGACGGGACAGGCGGGTGTCCCCAGTCGGACAGAGGGCGTCCGCGGGGCAGGGCCCTCCGAGGACACTCCCTAGCGCAGATGAAAGATAGGCCCGGCAGGAGGGGTCTGGCCAAGCCAGCCCAGGCCAGGGTCCCGACCCCCGACTGGGGTTCCCCCGTGGGGGCAGCCCTCGGGGGCGAGGGCCAGGCGGGGGCTGGGGCTTCCGTGAGGAAGCGGGGCTGAGCGGGCAGCAGGGCTGGGCACTCCCACGGCAGGCCGCCAGCCGCCTTTGTTCTGGGAGCTGGAGCGGATGCCTTGGGCGGGGGGTGGGGCAGCCAGCACTGGGCATCGGGAGGCCTTCCTGCCCCTGGGAAGATGGAGAAAGGCTCCGTCAGCCGCGTCACAGCTCCGTCTCACGCCTGGTGGGTGGGCCGGGGCTGGCCGCGGGCAGCCAACCCGCCCCCTCTTTCCGCAGTAACGCCGGGTCCTGTGCTGATCTTTCCCACGGGGGTGGATGTTGGACGCTCTTCCTTCCCAAGTTGCAACGGGAGAAACTGAGGCTCCAGGAGCCACGCCCTGGCTGGGAGGGCAGGAAGGAGCCGGGGACTTGGCACCTGCCCTGCTCGCTGCATGGACCTTGGCCAGGGGCCTTCCGGCCCAAGAGAGCTGCTGTTGGTCTGACCCTTGCTGGTTGCCAGCCTCGCAGCGAGTTCTCCTCCAGGGGAGCCAGGAAGGCTCCTGGCTGGTGCCCTCTGGGGGGCAGGTCTGCCCAAACCTGCAGGGGTGCCGGGGGGGTGCCCAGCTGGGTGAGGGTGCAGAGGGAGACTGGGCCGGCCTTAAGGGTGAGGCTGGGAGTGTGGGCGGGGGGCTAGAAACGCCAGGTGAGGGGCCTGTGCCCTCCCAGGTGGCACATGGGGGTGCTGAGGAGCAGAGCTCCTGTGAGAATGTCCCCGGACCCTAGGGGACACACAGCAGCTGTGTGGCAGGACCAGGGCCTTGTGCCGGTGTGCGGAGGGCTTGGCGCCAGCTGGCCACCTGGCCTCTGTGCCTCAGTTTCCTTCTCTGTCCGGGGGGCCGGTCACAGTGAGGACACCTGGGCGCACGCCTGAGGGGCGTGGCACCTCAGCAAGGCCTCCCACGCACAGTGGCTTTGGCTGGACCCCCCCTGCCAGGCGGCACGCCCTCCGAGGCTGGCAGGCTCGGGGCTCCCTGGGCAGGGCTCCTGGTCCCAGGGTGCCTGCTGGCCTGGCTCCCTGGGGCCCAGCTGGCCGCTCGGCCCTGTGGCCAGGCCCCCAGCAGGGTCGGCGGGGTTATTCGAGGGGAGCGGCAGGAAGTTTGCCCGAGGCTGGCCAGGCTCTAGTTACAGAGCCCAGCAGCCAGGACAGGTGTGGGGGCCGGACCGGACACGGCTCCTTGAGCTGGGCTGCCTGGGGAGGACAGCGGAGGGGGGGTGGGGGGGGCGGCCCTGGGGGCCAGCCGGAGGCGCCTCCTGCTCCGGCAGCGGCCCAGCTCTCCCCGCGAGGACGGATGAAACCTGCCTTGCTGGGGCCTTGGCTCCCAGGACGTGGGCCCCTTCGCCCCGGCCCTGCGCGCCCTGCCCCCGCCGTACGCACCGGCTGGACCGCTCACTCTGCTCACGCTGGGTGCTCGCAGATGCCCCCTCCGCCTCACACGCGACCCCCCCGGCCCAGACGCCCCCAGCGGCTCCTGTTTTCCATCTGCTTTTAAACAAGCCCCACAGCATCCTGCTCACCAGAGACTAAACTGTTTGGGTTTGGGGTCCTCTCGAGATAAACTCCACTTCCTGCGGCCTGGGGCTGACCATCTGGCCTGACCTGGGCCCCCGCAGGGCAGAGGGGCGGGGGCGGGGCGCGGGGGGGAGCTCCGGGCTGAGGGCCGCCCTGAACACCGCCTTCCAGGCTGGGGCTCCAGACAACCTCTGGAGTGAGGGGTGCCTGAACCCCACCCCCAGCCCAGCTTCCTGAGGTGCGGGGCCTCGCGGGCCGCCTGCCCTGCCCCTGCAGCCGGGGGGCTCCTGCACACCCGTGGGGGTCCCCGCCCCCACCCATTCCCTGACAGTCCCTCCCTCTGCTCCGCCGGCCTTTTGTTAGGGACCCGCCCAGCAGGGTCGGCCCCTGGGGCCGCTGTCTGTCTGCTCGTATTTCTGTTTTACTTTTCCATCCCCCTGTCTGTCCCTGCGGGGTCCTCCCTGTCCCTGCAGGGCGTGGGGACAGCCTGTGGGCCGTGGTTATTTACCCAGTTGGGGGCTGTCTTCCGGCCCCTTCTGTGACCTTTATCTTTGCCTACAAGATCCCCAGAGAGGTGTCTGCTGAGAGGGCCCACCTGGGGTGGGGCCAGAGCATTTGGCGCCCGGCTGGGGGGACCAGAAGGCCGGCCTGGCGGCCTGGCGGGGGTCCCAGGAGGTCTGGGCGCCCAAGGTCCACTCCGAGGGCGATGGCCGGGGCGCTAGCCCGGACACTGGGGCTAGGAGGGGCTTCCTGCCTCCGCCCGGCCACAACCTGGGACCCTGGCCCAGCCCCAGGAATTGGCACCGGGCCCCGCTTCCGGCAGGGCCAGGGCTGAGTCACATCTGCCCGGTGATTCAGGCGGCTCGCGGGAGCCGTGCTCCCTCACCCCCCGGGATGGGCCTGGGTCCCCCAGGCCCTGCCATGGGCCGGGGCAGAGATGGGGTGTGTCCCTGCCCTGGGGGAGGCGGGCGCCTGAGCCCGGTCGGCTGCGGGCTAGCTGTCACCCTCGGCGCCCGGCCAGGGTTTCAGGGACCCGTGTCGCTCCGATCCTAGCCCCGGCCGCCGCACCTCCCCGCCTCAGTCCCTGCGCGGTGGCATCAGGCGCCCTCTGCAGAGTCCGACAGGTGGCCCCGCGACTGATCGTGCACCCGGAGACAGCGGCGTGTTCTTGAGCAAGGGCGCCTCCGCACCGCCCCTTGACCCCGGCGTCGCTCCTCCGCTGTGTGTGTCTTTCCGCTGCCTCTGTGCCCGGGGAGCAGCCTGGCGGCCCCACGGCCACTGGTGCCTGGACCCACGCGGGGCCCCCTGCTCTGGCCCCGGCCCCCGTCGGCATCCGTCACGGGAGGGGGTGCAGGCGCCCTCCTAGGGCCCCTCCGCCGTCAGGCTGGGCGTGGGGGCTGGGGGGGGGGCGCGGCGGCGGAGAGGCTGCTCTGCTGCTGTCCTGGAGACCTGCCCGCCCCAAAATAGCCCGATTGTTAAAAATAACTCGGGAGGCTTTTGTTTGGCTTTTGCTTTAAAAGACGTTCTTTCCTTCAGCAGAGAACGCTGCAGCAGCGGGAAAGGTCAGCCTGCGCTGGCGGCGGGGCCTGGCGGGCGGAGGGGGCGGGGCCACGCCCGACCAGCGGCCCGGGGGAGCCGCACCGGGTCAGGATGATGGGGAGCGCCGGGCTCGTGTCCTCCCTCTGCCCCCACCCGTGCGCAGCCTCGGGACCGACGTCCAGGCCGCTGTGTGACGGACAGAGGGCCAGGTGGACGGGCAGCCAGGGGCGGGGTCTTTCTCTAAGCGCGACCAGCGGGCTGGGCGAGCGCGGGAAGTTCCCATGACACCCTCGTCCTGCCTGATCAGTGTCTTTGAATCAATATTTGTGCAAGTGCCCTCAGCTGGGAAAAATGCGGCCGGCCGCCGACCGGGGAGGGGCAGGGCCGGCCAGCGGAGGGTGCAGCCTGGTGGCCTCGCTAAGGGAAAGGCGGGGGTGGGTCCCAGGGGGTTCGGCGGGGGCCTGCAGTCTCCTGGGGGGCGTCCGGTGGGGACGGGCCACGCCCGCCCCGAGTGTCCCGTGTCCGTGACTCACGCGCCCCCCCCCCGGGGTCCCCCTGGAATGCCTTGGGTTTGGCCGAGGTGCCAGCAGGGTGCAGGGTCTGTCCCCCCGGGGCTCGTAACCCTCCCCCAGCTGAGCAGCCCGGGAAGATGACCTCAGAGCCTTGACACGGGTGAATAGGCTGCCCCCCCGCCCCCCGGGGAAAGGCCTCATGGCTTGACGGGGCCCTTTGGGAAGAGCGTGGACGCAGGGCAGGCCTGTCTCCCGGGCCTGGGACTCTGCCCCCGCTGGCACCCCGAGCAGCCTGTGCCTCCTGAGGGCTGGAGCCTCAAGGGGCCCCCGTCCTTCCACGGGGCTGCCACGCCGGCCTCAGGCCGACAAGGGCTGTGGAGCGACTGGGCCTCAGGGGCCCGGAGGGGGCCGACCCCTCTCTGCCTCGGCTGCTCCGGAGCCGAGGTCCAGGCCCGCAGACGCCCGAAGGGGCGTGCTCCTGGGGCCGGCCCAGGCCCCGCTGGGGGTGCGTGCGGTGGCCAGGAGCATGACGTCACCCTCGGGGTCTGCGGACAGTTCCGAGCCCACGGGGGGAGCCCCTGGGAGTGGACCTGGGGCTGAGGTGTGGGCCAGGCCCTGGTTGGGAGGCGGGCACCCCCACGTGTGGCGTGTTCACCAGTGTGCCTGGGCCTCCCACTCCGAAGTGCAAACTGGGGGTGTCTGTGTCCCCCGATCCCCGGCCCGGGTCTCCGTGGAGCCCGCGCATCGTACACAGAGCCCAGCCTGGACAGTGGCCCTTGGTTTTGGAAACAAGGGGAGGGGCTCACGTGTCCTCAGAGCTCCCTGGGAGCCCCTCCTGCCCTGTGGGAGGCCACCCCGGGGGCCGGGGCGGGGGGACAGGAGGCCTATGAGCCGGGTTCGAGGATGGAGCTTGCTCACACGCTGGCCCTCTCGGGGGTCTGGGTGGCCCAGCGTGCCCCCCTTGAGGCCTCGGGCTGAGCAGGTGCTTCTGCACTCACGCTGTTCCCGGGGGCCCCCGAGTCCTTTCCGGGGGCTGTGGCCTGGTGTCAGGTGTTCCAGATACTGACGTGGGGACCCCGCCTTGTACTTCGTCCTGGGGGAGTAGATGAGGCGCCCCATTTTCCAGTCTGTCTTCTCTGTCGGGGCCTTGTGACAGCAGCCAGGGCTGGGGCACATCGGCCGCGTGCACCCTGCGGCGTCTCTGGGCGTCGGGGGCTAGGGCTGCCCCGGGGATGGCCAGGCAGGTTCGGAGGCGGCCCTCAGAATGATGGGGGTGACCGGGTGAGACTGGGGCAGGGGCCCCGTCCCAGGAGTCGGGGTGCCCCCTGCCCAGTGGGCGAGGAGGCCAGGCCTGCTGGGAGCAAGGGGCCGTGCCTGGCCGCTGCACAGCCTGGTCGCGGACCTGCAGTGACCGGGGGGCAGGGGGCTGAGCGCCTGACTTGCCCTGGCCCAGCCCGACTGCGGGGGCTGCCGACAGGCTGCCCCACCTGCCCCGTGGGCACCAGGCCTGTCTGCGCCTCGCAGCCGGGGGGCCAGCGTGGCTGTGAGCCCCTGAGCGCGGGGGATGCGGGGGCGGGCAGAGCCGGGCCTGGGGCCAGCGCACCCCAGACCCAGGTGGGGAGCCCTTGGAATCGGCGGGGTCCGGTGTAGGCCTCCGCGGCCACGGGCCAGCCGGCGAGCCCGGGGGCTGCTCCCACAGCGGGTTCGCCTTCTCCCTGGTGCCGCTGGGCCCAGAGGGGAGCCCACAGCTGGGGGAGAAGGCACCTGTGCCCGGGGGTGGCCTCACCTGCTCCCCGCCGCAGGTCTTCCACGTGGCCTACGTGCTCATCAAGTTTGCCAACTCCCCGCGGCCGGACCTCTGGGTGCTGGAGCGGTCCACCGACTTCGGCAACACCTACCAGCCATGGCAGTTCTTCGCCTGTGAGTCTCCCGGGGCCAGGGGCTGGCGGCGTGTCCCGAGGTGGTGGGGTCGCCCTGCTCTGTCACCCTCGGCTTCTGCGTGGGTCGGGACTGCCGGGGCGCATCCCAAAGGCAGACGGGGGCGAGCGGCGCGGCTCCTGGCGCGAGGCCTGGGTGGGTCCAGGGGCAGGGGGCGCCCAGAGCCCTCGCGGTTCCCTGGGGTGCGGCCTCCCGCCCTGGCAGCTCCTGCGGCGGCAGAGGCAGCCAGCACCCCCTCCCCTCCCGCCCGTTTCCCGCAGCCTCCAGGAGAGACTGCCTGGAGCGGTTCGGTGCGCGGACACTGGAGCGCATCTCGCGGGACGACGACGTCATCTGCAGCACGGAGTACTCCCGGATCGTGCCCCTGGAGAACGGCGAGGTGGCTGGGCCGGCACGGCGGGCACGGCGGGCACGGCGGGCGGCCGGGCGCGGGGGCTGCCCGGTGCGGGCCTGACGCGCTGTTCTGTCCGCAGATCGTGGTGTCCCTGGTGAACGGGCGCCCCGGGGCCATGAACTTCTCCTACTCGCCCTTGCTGCGGGACTTCACCAAAGCCACCAACATCCGCCTGCGCTTCCTGCGCACTAACACGCTGCTGGGCCACCTCATGGGCAAAGCGCTGCGGGACCCCACCGTCACGCGCCGGGTAAGCACCCCGCCCAGGCCAGTGGGGCGGGGCCTGCGCGGGTGGGCGGGGCCTGCGCGGGTGGGCGGGGCTTGCGCGGGAGCTGGTTCTGGCCCTGTAGCGGGATCTGGGCCCCGCGGGGCTCCTCATAGCGGGCAGCAGGGCTGGTGGGGCGGGTCGGGGTGCTGACGGCCGCGTGCAGTACTATTACAGTATCAAGGACATCAGCATCGGCGGCCGCTGCGTCTGCCATGGGCATGCGGATGTTTGCGATGCCAAAGACCCCACAGATCCCTTCAGGTGAGACCCGAGGCGTTCTGCGCCCCCGCCCTCCCCGGGGGAGGAGACCGCGTTCCCCTGGCACCGTGGCTACCACCCCGTGGCCTCAGTTTCCCCGCGGGCACGCCGAGGCGGAGCGGCAGTGCCCTGCGCCCCGCTGCCAGCAGAGGTGGGCTCTTGTCCAGACACTGAGCCCAGGAGTCACTGAGGCAGGCGGGCGGCCTGAGGCTGCATGTCCCTGCCTTCTGGGCTGGGTGGTGTGCCCACACCACCCCACCTCCCTCCCTGCCCCACAAGCTGACCTTTGCTTCCCACCACAAGCAGGGGCCCCAGAGGTGGAGCTGAGGGCCCTGAGCCCCCACCCGGCGCCCTGCACTGGGCAGGGGGCGGCCCCGTGCCCACCGAGTCAGCCAGGTGTTGTGGGCCCTGCACCTTCTCTATGTGAAATCATGCCGAGCGCTTGTATTTGGGGCCTGCTCTGTGCCTTCTGCTGGGGCTTTATTGCTGGGCCCGCACCCCAATTTATTGGGGGGGGGGCGAGTGAAGCCCAGACCGCACAAAGGCTCACCCCGGTCTCACAGTCAAAGCCAGACCCAGAGGCCAACCCCGAACCGTCCACAGTGGCCAAGGGGCCTGAAGGAGGGAGGGCTCAGGGCCGCCCGGCGGGGCCCCCGCCTGCGGAGCTCAGACGCGGCGATGGCTCTGGGGAACTCAGTGCCAGGTGGAAAGGCGGGCGGGCTGGCGGGGGCGCCTGCCAGGCAGCAAATTGGTCCGGGAGGAGAGGCAGGTCTGCCCCTGCCTGCCGGGGCGGCGCCGGCACCGCCCTGCCTCACCTGCACCCAGGTGTGGGTGAGCTCCGCTCGGCTCGCCCTGCAGGGCAGCACCCAGCGCCCAGCCCTCCACCCACCCCACCCTGAGCTGGAAGGCCCGCGGTCCTCGCTGCCTGTGTCTCCGTCGCTCTGGCTGCTCGAACGAGCCCCGCAGACGCAGACGACGCCTCACTTCCCGCAGCTCTGCCTGCAGGCTGCTGGGCCCCCTCCCGGCTCACAGAGGGGGCGCTTCTCCGTGTCTCCCCATAGCTGGCGGTGGGAGGGACGACGAGAGGGGGGCCTCTCTGGGTTCTCCTATAAGGACACTAATCCCCTTAACACAGGCTGCACCCTCCTGACCTAATCACCCCCACCCCCTGCCGAGACCCCAAAGGCCGGCACGGGGGGTCAGGTTCCACAGGTGGGTGTAGGGGGACAAAAACCGTCAGTGGTAACGAGTCCCCTGCGTGTCTTCCTGGTTCTACCGTCGTCTCGTCTGAAAGGGCTGTTTTGCCCTCACTCTCGGAGGAACAGTAGCCGACTGCTGGTTCCAGCCGAAGGCCACGTCTCCTGACACTTCAGAGGTGGCAGCTCACGGTCTCTGGGTGTCTTGGACCCTCGGGTTCCGCCTTGCGCGCTGTTGCCTGGGCATCTCCGGGAAGTTTCTATGCTCTCCTCTGGGTGCTCCGTGGTGTCGAAGGGGGACGTGTTTTCTCCGGCTCAGGACTCAGGCTGTTGACCCTGAGACTGTGACTCCCGAGCCCGCCCCCGGCCGCCAGCGGGCGCCTTGTCTCCCCGCCTGTCCCTGTTCTCTTGCGGGAATTCGGGCTGTGCTTTCCTCTGTCTTGGGACGACTGGGTCCCCCCTCTGTCTCTCGATTGTCCTTCCTCTCCGAGCCTCCCCTCGACTGCGTCCGACCTGCTGCGCGGCCCACCCGCCGAGTCTTAAACGCAGTCATTTTATTTTTTGTCTATAGAAGTCTTCACCGGTTGCTTCTATCACATCTGCCTATTTTTTAGAGCATTCCTTTTTTTCCCTCTAATGAGGTTTTAGATTCCTTCTCTGGTAATATTTAAATGTGCTTATCGTACGGTTTCTACCCGATTGTGACATTCCCGGCGTCCAGGGCTGTGTCTGCCGTGAGGGCCGACGCCGCTGCTTCATGCGGCGCCTGCACACCCGGGTCGGGATGGAGCCTGCGCCGTGGCTTTGCGGGGGCTCTTGCCCAACACGCCACCGGCCTGGCCCCGCTCCGACAGGAATGCCTTAGTTGAGAGGTGCCCCGGCTGCGTCGCTTATCGAAACACCGAACAGCAGCCACAGGCCCGAGGTTGCACTTCCAAGACGGAAGGGCTGCCCCGGGCTGCCCCTGCTGCCCCTCCCCCAGAGGTCCCCAAGGCCCGAGTCCCTGGACCCCGAGGGACCGCAGCGCTCACTTCCATGGCCCTGAGGACCCTTGCAGGGACGGGGCTGGAGCTGCGGCCCCGGAGCCCTGGGGCGCACAGCGCGGGCCCGGCCCGGGACTCGCGGCCTGGCACAGCGCCCCTGCGGCCCCGCCCAGGCTGACGTACAGTCTCGGCCGGCGCGGGGCTTTGGCGAGGGTGTCTGAGCAGTAGGTGGCTGCAACCTCAGTTGCCAGCTGCGTCCAGCTGTCCCCCGCCTGCGGAGCCAACGGGAGGCGCTGTCCAGGGCAGCAGGCAGGGGACAGCCCTGCGACGGGTCCGCCCCCGGCGGGAAGAGGAAACAGTTGTTGGCCACCTGCCCCTGGGGAGGCGCCCGGGGCGCGTGGGGGCATCTGGCTGAGCTCGGGGCGGCCCCAGGGCCCGGGGCTCCCGGCTGACCCTCAGGCAGGGGCCGCGGAGCCGGCCGCTCAGTGCCCCGCCCTGGCGCCCCCGGCGCGGCCCCCTCTGCCTCCCCCCCGCGTCCCTGAGCCCTCCCCCCCACCCCCGCCCGTGTCTCCAGGCTGCAGTGCTCCTGTCAGCACAACACCTGCGGGGGCGCCTGCGAGCGCTGCTGCCGCGGCTTCAACCAGCGGCCGTGGAGGCCGGCGACGCCCGACAGTGCCAACGAGTGCCAGGGTGAGCGCCCCGCCCCCCGCGCGTGCTCGCGCACACCTGCACACACAGCGCTCACGGGCACACGTGTGTGCGCCCACATTGCATGCATGTGCCCACGTCCACATCCGCCGGCATAGCGCTCCCACGCACACGGTGCTCATGCGCGCGTGCACACGTGCGGCACACTCTGCCCACCGACGCGGGTCACACAGGGGGTCGTCCGGGGGGGCTGGCCCGGGGTCCCCAGCCAGGCGGGGCCATGGGGGCGCCTGCTGACAGTCCGGCACCCGCCCCTCCCTCCAGCCTGCAACTGCCATGGCCACGCGGACGACTGCTACTACGACCCAGCGGTGGACCAGCACGGCGCCGGCCAGGACCAGGACAGCGTCCACCAGGGCGGGGGCGTGTGCGTCGACTGCCAGGTGCCTGGGGCGCCGCCCGCGGCGCGCTGGGGGGGGGACCCGGGTGCCGGGCCGCGCCGTGGCTGGGGGCCCGGCCGGGACTCAGTGGCCGGCCCTCTCCCCCCAGCATCACACCACCGGCATCAACTGCGAGCTCTGCTTGCCTGGCTTCTACCGCTCCCCAGACCACCCCCTGGACTCGCCCCACACCTGCCTTCGTGAGTGGGGTCGGCCTGGGCGGGGCGTCCCGGGGTCTCCAGCTCCCTGCGGCCGGGGCCCTCCCACTGCCCCGGAAGCCGCGGCCACGGTGCTCCCCCCTCCCCGCCCGGCCTGGGGAGGCTGAGACGGCCTGTCCGGGGCCTGATGGCCCTGGCGTGGGGCCTCATGACTCCCTCCGGGCCCCTCGCAGGCTGCAACTGCGAGTCGGACTTCACAGACGGGACGTGCGAAGACCTGACCGGCCGCTGCTACTGCCGGCGCAACTTCACGGGGGAGCGGTGTGAGGAGTGTGCTGCGGGCTTCGCGGGCTTCCCGCGGTGTGACCGTAAGGGACGGGCGGGGGCGGGGGCCCGGGGACCCTCCTCATCCGCCCATCCCCCCCCCCGCCCCTGTGCCGAGCGGGCCTGGCTGACAGGGCTGTCTCCCCACCCCAGCCGTGCCCTCCACCCACAACGGCAGCGGGGCGCAGACACTGCCGGCCGGACAGATCGTGAGTAAGTGGCTCGACGCCCCCGCCCGGCCCTGGGGCCCCCGGAGCAGCGGGGCTGGAGGGGTCCCAGAGAGGCAGGCGGTTCAGTTTGCTCCTTTGCATTTTATGCAAACAATATCCATTCACACTAGAAATTCACCCAGAACCCCGGGGAGCGTAACGTCTGGAGGAGGCACCCCCGCGTCGCCCCCCCCCCCCCAGGAACCCCTCCCCCGCTGCCGGACCCTTCCCGTGGACACGCGTGCCCGGCTTTTATGCACACGAGCGTGTGTCTCGGAGTTGCATTTTCCACCCGCCGCCGCCCTGCACACGTGTTGCATCTTGCCCCAAGCTGCACAGGAAGACGGAGCATTTATTTAGCCAGCTCCCGATTGCTGGGAATTTAGGTTCTTTCCAGTTTTCTCTTTCTGAGTAAGGCTCAGATAAACATCCTCGCGGCTCAAGCTTCCCATAAACCCTTAGCGCTGCTGAGGAGGATTCTCCAGAGGGCGGCCCTGCCCAGGCCCCACGGCGCGTGCCAGGACACTCGGGCGGTGGCCGCCCCCTCGCGCTCAGAGCAAAACCACCCACTGGTGCCGGTCGCCACGCTGGGTCACGTCACGGTTTCCGGGACACAGCAGGGTTTCCGATTGTCAGCTGGACCCCTCCGCCGGGAGACACACTCGCCCTCTTGAGTCTCCGCGGGACGGGGGCCGCCCTTCGGTGCACGGCGGGTCACAGCCTTGTGGTCAGGTGCCTCCCCCGCACAGGACTTGTCCCGGCTGTTGTACAGGGTAACGCCACACCACACGCGGGGGTGAAGGTCTCTTCTCCGGTTAGCCTTCTCGTTTCCTTTGGGTGTTTTCCCAGCAGTGGGATCGCTGAGTCACACGGCAGACCCATGTTTAATTTTTTGAGGAGACTCCGCTGTTCCCCACCGCGGCCGCCCCCCGACCCCGGCACGGCCGCCGGCGGTGCAGGAGGGCTCCCCTCGCTCGGCGCCCTCGCCCGCGCTTGCTGTTCGCTGCTTTCTTGGTGACGGCCCTTCTGGCAGGTGTCAGGCGGGACCTCGTTGTGGTTGTCACTTGCATCTCTCTGGTGATTGGTGGCATTGAGCAGCTCTGCGTATGTCTGTGGACCCTCTGTATGTCCTCTTTTGAGAAGTGTCTGTTCGGGTCCTCTGCCTGTTTTTTTAACTGAGTTGTTTGGGTTTTTCTCTCTTATGTCAAGTTGTGTGAGTTCTTTATATATTTGGGATCTTCGCCCCCGACTGAATGTACCATTTGCAGCTACCTCTTCGGGTTCAGGAGGCCCCACGCAGGCGCTCTTTTACTTCGAATCCGTGAACTGTACACAGAACCCTGTTCCTGCTCTCCTGAAAGGGACCTGCCATCGAAGGGAAACGCCTCCCCCGTGAGGCAGGTGGAAAGGGCGCCTGTGTGTGGTGCCACCTCGTTCTGGTTTTGTAGGTCACCTTGTAAAATGCTTGGGAAATGATTCATACTTTGCTATGCTCCATATCGGCTTTAAACTCACAGGAATTTATGAAAAGTGTGCTGGACCGTATGACGCCCTCCGGGCCTCCTCCCTGCTTCTCGACAGAGACCGCGGGTGGCGGGTGCCCTTCCTCCTGTGGCCTTCATGTCTGTTTGCTGCCTCATCGTGCGCCAGTCTCGGTTATTTACATTTTCTTAGCAAGCTGTTTATGTCATTTGGATCTTGAAATGGATTGGCCCAAAGTTATACACAGCATTCTGTTCTCATTTTTAAGGTTCTTTTCAATCCTATTATTTTCTATTTTTATTCTCTTCCTTTTCTTTTTTTTCCTTCACTTGCGCTAACAGCCGGGCACTGAATGTATCGGTATTTTCAAAGTGCAGCCCGGAGTTAGAGGGCAAGATTGCTGGACTTCTCTCGGCTCTGTATGGGCAGAGGCTTTGCTTCCTTGTGTAGAAACTTTTGAACTAAATTCTTTAATTCCTTCCATCGCCTTTCTTGTGGCTTATTACTGTTTTTGATAGCTTCTGGAGTTGTTTATCTTTTTCAGTCTCTGCTAGTTGTCAACCAAAAGGTTTAAAGCGATGGCTCTCAAGCAGAAGTGATTGCAAGCTGCACGGAAGTGTCTAAAATGTCTTTTTGGCAGTTATAACTGAGCGTGCTCTTGGCATCCAGTGGGCGGAGGGAGGCCAGGGCTGTGCGAAACGTCCTAGTGTGCGAGACAGCCCCGCCGCCGCAGGCGCTGACCGGCCCAGAACGCTCGTCCCACCAAGGTGGGGAAAGCTGGGCAAAAGCTATCAGTTTGCCTCAGAGGGGAGCTCTGGCCAGTTATGTCCTCCTGGGTTGGTTGTTTGTTCTCGCTACTGCTCTTTTCTACGTAGTCGGTCTGAAAACTGAAATATTTTTATTTCAGCCTGAGTTCTTCGGAAGCCTGTTTTGTCGTTCTTGGTGGTGTGGTTGCTGGTTCAGTCCATGTTTCGCTGCATCGCGGTCAGATCCAGGAACCTGACCGTTTCTGCTTTTCGTCCTTGGGATTCAATGTTTTCTGTGTTTCTCCCCCGTTCAGGTCGACCCACACCCGTTTGACGGGAACGTGTGTTCTCTGTTGGGCACAGATTTCTGTGTGTGCACCGCTTCAAGCACACGGGTCAGTTACACTGTTTAACGCCACTCCGTGCTTGCTTAGCGTCGGTCCCATTCTGAGAACAGTGGACTCAGTCCTTCTCTCAAGGGCTGTGGTTTGGCAAAAATCGCCATTGTAATTGTTTAGCCTTCTGCACCTTGAGACTATTTCTCCGGCTCTTAGAGACTTGGGTTTGCCACCTCTCTTGGCGGGGGGCGGGGGCGCGAGTCCGTTTTCTCAGCGCACATTTCCTTTGTCCCCACTACTGCGTGTGGCCTGAGGGCTGTGTCCCTCCTCTCCACGCTCACCTCCTCTGCATCTGCGCCGGACGCTCGCCCATCACGCGCCTCCGTTTCCTGTCTGCGCCCTCCGTGCGAGGCACGTCCTTTCAAAAGGATGTGACCGGATTCTCCTTTTAGCGGCCATCTGACGCCTTGAGGCTTCATCGCAGGAAAGGAGAGGCGGCCTGAGCCAGGGCAGCGGCCGCCGGCCGCGGGGGCCACCTGCGCAGTGTCCTCTCTCCTGTTCCACTTCTCTTTCCTCTCCCGCCTGTTGCTGGGTTGAGCAACCATACGTATTTCGGTTTTGGGTGGTTCGTCAGTGTTTCCTTCTCTGATCGTTTTCAAGTTCTGGTCCGTGGTGGACAAATGCCGAACCATTATTTTCTCTCAGTAACAGAAACTAACGGTCCTTGTTGCTTTCTTTTTATGCTCACGTTAAGGCTTTAGCACGTTTTGCTCCCTTCTTCCCACCACCTGGAATTACTTATAAAGACCGGAATGTTTTCTTCCCTGTGTTGTGACGCTGAGTCTAAATTTTTTCTGGCTGTGGGAGTGCCCGCCGGCGACCTGGCGTCTGGGTCATGGAGGACTAAGTGCGCGGAGGCGCAGTCTCCCACGTTTTGCCCCGCGCTGCCGTCTCCCCAAAGCATCGGCTTTCCCTTCCTGGGGTTTTTATTGAAGTTCATTTGTTTACCTTTAAGTTTTAAAATACTTTCAATTACGTCCGTCCTGCAACGTCACGTACAGCACGGCGGTTGGACAGCGGTCCCCTCACGGAGAGCTCTCCTGGAGTCTGGCGCCCGCCGGACTTGCGTTGTCTTCCCGTTTATATGTGCACAGCGTGAAAGTGCCAGGGAAGGGGCTGTGAAGGAGGGGGTTTGCCGGTGGGGGGCCGGGCCTGCAGGGCCCCTGAGACCCTCTCCCCCGCTCCCCCGACAGACTGTGAGTGCAACGCCGCCGGGACCCAGGGCAATGCCTGCCAGCGGGACACGCGGGTGGGACGCTGCCTGTGCAAACCCGGCTTCCAGGGCAGCCACTGCGAGCTCTGCGCCCCGGGGTTCTACGGCCCGGACTGCCAGCGTGAGTCCCGCCCCGCCCCGCCCCGCCCGCCCCCCCGCACGGACGCGGGGCCGGCCCCTCTCTGACCGAGGGCCGCCGCCGCCCCCGCAGCGTGCCAGTGTTCCAGCCCCGGAGTGCTGCACGGCGACTGTGACCAGGACTCGGGCCGGTGCACGTGCCGGGCGGGCTTCGAGGGGGCCGCGTGTGACCGCTGCGCCCCCGGCTACTTCCACTTCCCCCTCTGCCAGCGTGAGCGAGGCCTCCCCAGGGGGCCCGGGTGGGCGTGGGCCCGGGGCTCCGTCCACCCTGCTCAGCAGCCCGTGCGCCTCTCCGCCTGCAGTGTGCGGCTGCAGCCCCGCGGGGACCCTGCCGACGGGCTGCGACGAGGCTGGCCGCTGCCCCTGCCGGCCCGAGTTCGACGGCCCCCACTGCGACCGCTGCCGCCTGGGCTACCACGGCTACCCGGACTGCCGCGGTGCGCGGGGCGGGGCTCGGGGTGGGGCTCGGGGCGGGGGGGGGGCAGGGGGCGGGGCCAGGGGCGGGGCAGGGGCGCCTCCAGCCGGCGCCCAGGGCCTGACCCTGCGCGTCCCTCGCAGCCTGCAACTGCGACCCCCACGGGGCCCTGGACCAGCTGTGTGGCGCCGGCGGGTCCTGCCGCTGCCGCCCTGGCTATGCCGGCGCCACCTGCCAGGAGTGCAGCCCCGGTTTCCACGGCTTCCCGGCCTGCGTCCGTGAGTGTCCTTGCGGGAGGCGGGGTGGGGGGACGGGGGACGGGGTGGGGGGTGACGGGCGCGTCCCGCCCGCCGCGCGCCCACACGCTCCTCCTCCCGCAGCCTGCCACTGCTCTGCGGAGGGCTCCCTGCACGCAGCCTGCGACCCCCGCAGCGGACAGTGCGGCTGCCGGCCCCGCGTGACAGGGCTGCGGTGTGACACGTGTGTGCCCGGCACCTACAACTTCCCCGCCTGCGAAGGTGAGGCCGGCGCGCGCTGTGCGTGTGGTTCGTGCCCGTGCATGTGTCCATGTGTTTGCGCGTGTGCAGGTGAGGCCCGTGTGCTGTGCGTGTCGTGTGTCCATGTGTCCCGTAAGTGCCCACGCACAGCTCTGCGTGGTTGTTCCTGGGCGTGTGTCCTCATGGTGTCTGCTCACACACGTGTTCATGAGCATGTGTGCTCATTGCATGTTCCTAACCATGTGCTGGGGAGGGGGAGGCCACGCGGTCCCGGCCTGGGGCAGGAGCGTGGAGGTGCACGTCTTCATGCCTGGTTACGCCTGTGGGAGCCGTGGGTTCTGGCCCGGCCGGGGAGGTGCTTGGCCATCAGGACCAAAGACCAAGGAGTGACCGAGGCAGGACGTCTCTCCACAGCGGGCTCCTGCCACCCTGCAGGCCTGGCCCCCGCCGACAGCCTCCTCCCCCAGGTGAGCCCGGGCCAGCCCTGGTGGGTTGAGGCCATCGCGGCCCCTGCTGGTGGGTCGCTATGGCAACCTCGGGGGCGCATTCCTTCCCCTGCTGGCCCCCTGTCCCCACTCCAGGGGCTCCCAGGGCTGGCGCAGGGCCCAGACTCGGGGCTGAAGGTCCGTGGGTAGGAGGGTGGGGGCCACTCCGACCCTCAGTCTCGTCCTCCCCCAGACACAGGCCCCCTGCACGTGCCGGGCTCACGTGGAAGGGCCAAGCTGCGATCGCTGCAAACCCGGGTTCTGGGGGCTGAGCCCCAGCAACCCCGAGGGCTGCACCCGTGAGTCTTCCGCCAGCGGGTGCTGGGGGCGGGGGAGGGTCCCCACAGAGCCGCGGCCCTGCCGCCGCCTCCCCTCCCGGCACTCAGGCCCGCTCTGCCCGCCCCCCAGGCTGCAGCTGCGACCCCAGAGGCACACTGGGCGGAGCGGCCCAGTGCCAGCTGGTGAGTCTGAGGGCCGAGCCGCGGGGGGCGGTGGTGCAGGCGCATCGGGACCCTCCCCCTGCCCAATCCCACCGCCTCCCTGGCCCTAGGGCAACGGTCAGTGCTTCTGCAAGCCCCACGTGTGCGGCCAGACCTGCGCGGCGTGCAGGGACGGCTTCTTTGGGCTGGACCGGGCCGACTACTTTGGCTGCCGCAGTGAGTGCCCCTCATGGGGCTCTGGGGCCACGTGCTGGGGTGAGCGGGGCCTGGGGCGGGGCCTGGGGCGGGGCCTGGGCACAGCCGGCGCCACGGGCGGGGTCTGCCCGCAGGCAGCCTCTGCTTGTTCTGCGCCCAAGGACCTCACGGGTCAACCTCGTGCCCCGGAGCCTGGGCTGAGAACCTCCCTCGTCCGGAGTCCCAGCGGGCCCCTCAGCCCTGCCGCTGGGAGAAGGCAGATGGAGCCCGCGCCTGCCTGTGAGCGCTGAGCGGGGTCCTGGGCCGGGGGCAGCTCCGACCTCGCTCACGCCCTGTCTCCACCCCCAACCCCGTGCAGGCTGCCGGTGTGATGTTGGCGGTGCGCTCGGCCAGGGCTGTGAACCGAGAACGGGCGCCTGCCGGTGCCGCCCCAACACCCAGGGCCCCACCTGCAGCGAGTGGGTGTCCCATTCCGACCGGGCTGGGGGCCTGGGGGGCCTGGGGGGCAGGGGCCGGGGGGCGGTGGCTCGTCCGCTGGGCTTGTCCCTGGGGGCCCTGGCGGCTGTACAGGGCCGGCGCCTGCCCCCCGTGACGCCCCTGCCGTGGCCAGGCCGGCGCGGAACCACTACCTGCCTGACCTGCACCGCCTGCGCCTGGAGCTGGAGGAGGCGGCCACGCCCGAGGGCCACACGGTGCGCTTTGGCTTCAACCCCCTCGAGTTCGAGAACTTCAGCTGGCGGGGCTACGCGCAGATGGCGCCCATCCAGGTGGGTCCGGGGTGGGCAGACCTCGGAAGCCCTGGGATCGGGCTGGGAGAGGCCAGGGAGGGGTGACCCCGATGCTCCACGCCTCCGCAGCCCAGGATTGTGGCCAGGCTGACCGTGACCTCCCCTGACCTCTTCTGGCTCGTCTTCCGCTACGTCAATCGCGGGCCCACTAGCGTGAGCGGGCGGGTCTCCGTGCAGGAGGAGGGCAAGTTCGCCGCCTGTGCCAACTGTGAGTGCCCCGGGCGGTGGGGCCCCCACCCCCGCTCGCGCCCGCATCCCGCCGAGCCCCCACCCGCCTCAGCCTGTGTGGGCGGAAGCCAGGCCCTGCCGCTCACTCGCCCTGGGGAGTGCGGCCTGGGCCCCCGGGCTGGGTCCGGCCTCACCGCCCGCCCGCCCCCCAGGCACGGAGCAGAGCCAGCCTGTGGTGTTCCCGCCCAGCACGGAGCCCGCCTTCGTCACCGTGCCTCAGCGGGGCCTGGGGGGGCCCTTCGTGCTGAACCCTGGAGCCTGGGCCCTGCTCGTGGAGGCCGAGGGGGTGCTTCTGGTGAGACGGGGTCCGCGGGCTGTTGGGGTCGGAGCGGGCGGGGGGCCCAGGCGCGGCCACAGCATCCACCGCCCGCCCTCTGCCCTCCCGCCTCCAGGACTACGTGGTTCTGCTGCCCAGCGCCTACTACGAGGCGGCCCTGCTGCAGCTGCGGGTGACCGAGGCCTGCAGGTTCCGGCCCGCTGCCCAGCACTCCGGGGAGAAGTGAGGGCCAGTCCAGTGGGGGGGGCGGGGGGCCAGCCCCCTCTGTGCTCAGGCCGCTGGCCCCGTGCTGACTCGGACCGTGTCCCCCGCCCACAGCTGCCTCCTCTACACCCACCTGCCCCTGGACGGCTTCCCCTCAGCCCCTGGGCCTGGGGCCCTGTGCCTCCGTGACAACAGCCTGCCGCGGCCCTGCCCCACGGAGCAGCTCAGCCCCTCGCACCCGCCGCTGGTCCTCTGCCAGGGCAGCGACGTGCGTGTCCTGGGGGTCAAGGCCTGGGGGGAGGCATGCCCTTGGCCTGGGGGACGAGACACGGTCAGGGCAAGAGTGACCAGGGCAAGGCGGAGCTCGGGACCCAGGACGCCCTTGGGGGCCCGGCCCCAGCCCTGGAGCTGGCTCGCTGTGTGGCTGTGCGGCTGCCCACTCCTCTGAGGTCCCTGCCTGGGCCTCGGGTGGGCAGGGGCGGGCAGAGGGCCGCACGCTGCCGTGTCCTGGGAGGGAGCCGTGCTCCCGGGTGGGGGCGGGGCGGGCCTCTGATTGCCCTGTCCCCCCAGGTGGACGTCCAGCTGCAGGTGGTGGTGCCGCGGCCAGGCCGCTACGCCCTGGTGGTGGAGTATGCCAACGAGGCAGCCCGCCAGGAGCTGGGGGTGGCCGTGCACAGCCCCCGGCAGCCCCCGCAGCAGGGCACGCTCACCCTGCACCCCTGCCTGTACAGGTGCGCACAGAGGGGGCGGGGGGCCCAGGGCCCGGTGGGAGGGCTGGACCCGGAGCTGCCGGCTGCTGACCGCCCCGCCCCTGCAGCACGCTGTGCCGCGGCGCCGCCCTGGACAACCAGCACCTCCCGGCAGCCTTCCACCTGGACACAGAGGCCAGTGTCCGACTCACAGCCGAGCAGGCACACTTCTTCCTGGTAAGGCCCTGACCCCCGACCTCTCGTCTGCGCCTGCCTCAGGACTCCTGGGGGGTCGGATCGTTCAGGTTTTTTTTTTTTTTTAAATAAAGATATTACTTATTTTTGGAGAAAGGGGGAAAAAAGGGAGAAAAGAGAGAAACATCCCGGTGCGGCTGCCTCTCGCACGCCCCCTGCTGGGGACCTGGCCTGCAACCCAGGCCTGTGCCCCGACTGGGGATTGAACTGGCCACCCTGTGGTTCGCAGGCCACCCCTCAGTACCCTGAGCCACACTGGTCAGGGCAGATCGTTCAGATTTTAAACCCACATAAAAAAGGGAGAGAAGAGTGTTAACGGGCCCAGGTTCCTGTCACCAGGGCGCCGTTAGCTCGGGCCGCATCTCGGTTCTTCCGGAACACGGGTTTTCCTCCTGGGGGCACAGAACATCTGTTTATTTCCTACTAACACCCACAGCCCCGTAAGGGGGCGTGTGATTCACTGGAGCGAGAGCGGGAACAAACAGTGATCTTAACAAAAACCTGGCTGTGGTACCATTGATCGACACCTGCCCCCGTGCGCCCAGGGGCCCTCTCTGGACTTGGGACGGGGCCCCTTCGCGGGGCGTCCTGAGACTCCAGGCCCAGCAGCTCTGTGGGACGCCGCTTCTGTACCAGCCTCGCAGGCTGGGTAACCTCGTGGTAATTGAGTCGCCGTAATCACAACGTGGCGCAGCCTCGGTGGTTCTGGGCCCAGAACCAAGCGCCAGGGTGCACTCAAGACCAGCTAGAGCAGGGGGCATCTGTCCCCCAGAAGTGGCGCACGGTCTCTTGCACCCCACTTCCTCAGGCCTTCGGGAAACTCATCTGAGCAATAACTGCACAGTTTTTATCAAAGTGGCCGGTACTGACGAGATACCGGCCACACCAAAGAGTGACCGCCGGGCCCGGGGTCAGGGTTGCTGATCCCACTTGGCAGAGCCGTGTGCTTTCAGTGTTGCCAGCGGACACGCGTCGCTGCGGCTGCTCCCGGTCTGTCCTCTGTGGGCCCTGTGCTTTCCCGGGCCTGTGGCTGTGACCGGGCTGTGTCCACCTTTCCACGGAGCATTTCCACCTCCATGGGAACACACGGCGCACGGGACGCCCTGCGGGCCCCCCGGGTGGCCCCCCACACGCCGATCGCACCCTGACCCTGCCTATTCCGGAACTTTCTGTAACGAACCCCACAGGGCGTCCTTCTGCTGACCCCGTGTGGGCGGCGAGTGGGGGTGCTGCTGTCCTCACGCGGTGCTCTCTCTGTCACTGCTGCAGCGCCTCGGTTTGGTCGTATCTGTCAGTGCGCGCTTCCAGCGGCAGTGGGACGGCCCAGGGCAGACAGGCCTGCCCGGGACCCCGTCCCGGGAGCTCGGGGGAGGCAGGCGGCGAGGAGTGGTCTTGGGGTCAGCTGGGAGGGCGCCCAGAAACTGCAGTCGAGGGCGAGGAGTTGGGCCGCACCCCTCCTCCGGTGCGGCCCGGCAAGGCCTTGGTGCCGGAGCTGGGCTCGGGTCGGCCGCGGTGTGGACAGGCTGCACCCTCACGCCCACGCCTGGCCCCCCACCCACAGCACAGCATCACCCTGGTGCCCATGGAGACGTTCAGCCTGGAGTTTGTGGAGCCGCAGGTCCGCTGCATCAGCACCCACGGGGCCTTCAGCCCCAGCAGGTAGTGGACGGGCGGGGGCGGGGCGGCCTGGGGGGCCACACCGGCTGGGCCGGGACTCATCCCGCTCTCCCGCCAGTGCCGCCTGCCTGCCCTCCCGCTTCCCGAAGCCGCCCCAGCCCGTCATCCTCCGGGACTGCCAGGTGCTGCCGCTGCCGCCGGGCCTCCCGCTGCTGCGCTCGCAGGAGCTCACGCCGGGAGCACCCCCGCCCGGGCCCCAGCCCCGGCCCCCCACCGCCGGCGACCCCGAGGCGGAGCCCACCTTGCTGCGACACCCCCAGGTGAGAGCCGGGGGCTGGGGACGGGGGAGTGGGCGGGCAGGACCTGCAGGGGAGCCCCCCAGCGACCCTACCGCTCTGCCCGCTCACGCGCCTCTCCCCGCAGGGCACGGTGGTCTTCGCCACCCACGTGCCCACCTTGGGCCGCTACGCCTTCCTGCTGCACGGCTACCAGCCAGCGCACCCCACCTTCGCGGTCGAGGTCCTCATCAACGGGGGCCGCGTCTGGCAGGGTGAGTGGCGGCGGGGGCGGCTCCGGAACCAGGAGCCTGTGGGCGTCTCAGCCGCAGGGCCCTGTTGTGTGGTCACCACGTGACGTGGACACTGTGCTGGTTCCGTGGCCTGGCGCCCCGGTACCTGGCTGTGAGTGCGGGGCCACACACCCCTCCTGCCATCGGCGCTCCAGCGGGGCGCCCGGGGCCTGCCCGGTGTCCAGTGCTGTCAGCCCCGCCTCCCAGACCCGTCCCGGCCCCCGCTCCTCGCGCCCGTTTCATGGACTAGGCGGCACCCGCCACACGGGCAATGGAGGGATCACACACGGGACACTAGCTGATGGCCCACGTGCTGCTACGTGTTTGTCTATTTTGTTATCGTCGCTGTGCCAAGCCCAGGGGCCACGCTGGCCCACGGAGTGTGGGGGCTGAGCCCCTCCCCACAGTGACCCCCAGACGGCCCCCGGCCTGGGCCGAGGCCCTCGGGCCGGGGGTGGTCCGTGTGCGGGGGGCTGACCTGCCTCTTCTTCCCCTCCAGGCCACGCGAACGCCACCTTCTGCCCGCACGCCTACGGCTGCCGCATCCTGGTGGTGTGCGAGGGCCAGGCCGTCCTGGACGTGACCGACAGCGAGCTCACGGTGACCGTGCGCGTGCCCGAGGGCCGGTGGCTCTGGCTGGTGAGTCCTGAGGCTGGTGAGCCCGCACGGTAGACATCCTGAACCTGTCCGGGGACCAGCTGTCCCCACCCCGGTGGCACGGCCCTCGGTCACTCAGCCAGAGTGTGTCCCCTGCCTGTACTCACACCAGGGGTGCTGGGTGCCGGGAGCAGCGGCCTCTGGGGACCTCCAGAGCCACCCCATGAGATGCCGGCGGGGGCCCAGGAGCTAAGAGAAAGCTCACCAACCAACACCCCAGGGCCCCGCTGGTCAGGGTGGCTTCCTGAGTGGGCGGAGCCTGCAGGGTGCAGAGGGAGGCAGGGGGTGCTACCTCCTCCCACACCCCAAGCTCCCAGGAGGCCGTGGGGGCTGGCCCCCCTCCAAGTGGCCCAGGCGTGGGAGGGACCCAGCCCCTCCCAGTCTTGCCCGGGCTCGGGGCCACGATGGGGCGCCAACACCATCTTAGCTGCCCTGCCAGATGGTGGCCAGTCGCAGGGGTCCCTGGAGCTGAGCCCCAGCAGGCAGGCCCTGGCTCCCGGGAGATGACCAGACCCTGGTTGCCCTAGGAGTACGTGCTGGTGGTCCCCGAGAACGCCTACAGCCCCAGCTACCTGCGGGAGGAGCCCCTGGACAAGTCCTATGACTTCATCAGCCAGTGTGCCAGCCAAGGCTACCACATCAGGTGGGCGGGGTGGGGCTTGGGTGGGCGTGGCCTGGGCGGGACTGGAGGCTGGGGGCAGGGCTCCGGCAGAGCCAGGCAGGGCGCTGGCCTCACCACCTTCCCCTCACCCCAGCCCCACCAGTTCATCCCAGTTCTGCCGAGACGCAGCCACCTCTCTGTCCCTCTTCTATAACAACGGGGCTCTGCCTTGCGGGTGCCACGAAGTCGGCGCCACGAGCCCTACGTGTGAGCGCTTCGGGGGCCAGTGTCCCTGCCGTGCCTACGTCATTGGCCGAGACTGCTCCCGCTGCGCCACCGGCTACTGGGGCTTCCCCAACTGTAGGCGTGAGTACCTCGGTCCGGCGCTTGGCCAGCTGGGGGTGGCGCCTGAACTCGGGGGCTTTCTGGTAAAGGGGGGCTCCCCAGGAAGTATCGACAGGGGTCAGGAGGTCATTCTAGAGCCTGGCAGACCAGTCCAGGCACCTGCCATCCTTGGGACCTTGGGCAGCTTCCGGCCCAGGCCTTACAGGGTTGTCTGGACGGTTCCAGGGCCTAGGCGGTGATTCGGCGCTGCCGACCCCAGGTCGGAGGGGCTGCCGGAGGCTCCGGCACAGGGCTGGGCAGGGCCGGGCAGGGAGCAGGGGTGGGGTGCCCCGGCCTCGCTGCCCTGAGCGGCAGCCCGGGGCCCCCGCGAGGGGCAGAGGGGCCCACCAGCCCTGTGCACGTCCCACAGCCTGCGACTGCAGCGGCCGCCTGTGCGAGGAGCTGACCGGCCGCTGCATCTGCCCGCCGCGCACCGTCCCCCCCGACTGCACCGTCTGCCAGCCCCAGACCTTCGGCTGCCACCCCCTGGTCGGCTGCGAGGAGTGTAACTGCTCGGGGCCCGGGGTGCAGGAGCTCACAGACCCCGTCTGCGACAAGGACAGCGGCCAGTGCCGGTGAGAGCCGGGGCCGGGGCGGGTGGCCTCCCGGGGGCCTGGGGTCCGGGTGGCGGTGCTGGGGTCCGAGGGTCCTGAGCCCACCCCCCCCCCATGGTTGCTCCTGGGTGCCGCAGCGTGCTCCCCTTCAGTTCGGGGGGCCGGGGGCCGCCTGCCGTCTCTCGCTTCAGCGTGAGGGGTCTGGGTGGAGGGGAGGTGCAGCGGCTTCTGAACCGCGCCCTCCCGCCCGCAGGTGCCGACCCCACGTGGCAGGACGGCGCTGCGACACCTGCGCTCCAGGCTTCTACGGCTTCCCCCGCTGCCGCCCCTGTGACTGCCACCGCGCCGGCTCTGCGCCCAGCGTGTGCGACCCCCTCACGGGCCAGTGCCGCTGCAAGGTGGGGCCAGGGCCTGCCCCCCGCCCCCTCCGCCGCTGCAGCTCCTCCTGGGGGCGGCTGGGGCTCCCGGGGAGACCGGGGACGACCGCCCGTTGGCGACGGGGTGACAGGGAGACGAGGCGGGGGGGCTGCACGGGGCCGGCCAACCGCCTCGCCCTGACCTCTGCCCCCAGGAGAACGTTCAGGGCCCCAGGTGCGACCAGTGCCGCGTCGGGACCTTCTCCCTGGACGCGGCCAACCCGAAGGGCTGCACGCGCTGCTTTTGCTTCGGGGCCACGGAGCGCTGCCGGAGCTCCATCCACTCCCGCCAGGAGGTGCGTGGGCAGGGCCCCGCCGCGCGGGCGGCCGCGGGGCTCCCCAGCCCGCGGTGCTCGCTGGGGGGGGCGGGCCCGGGGACGCTCGGGGCGCTCACCGAGGCTCCCTCCCGCGCGCCCCGCAGTTCGTGGACATGGACGGCTGGACGCTGGTGAGCAGTGACCGGCAGGTCGTGCCCCACGAGCTGCGGGAGGAGGGCAGCCTGCTCCACGCGGACCTGCGGCGCGTGCCCGAGGGCCTCTCCGAGCTGTACTGGCAGGCGCCGCCCTCCTACCTGGGGGACCGGGTGAGCGGGCGCATCGGGCTGTGGGGGCGGGGGCTCCGTGAGGGTGCTCAGGGCCACCGCGGTGACTCGGCGCGTGGGCAGGGCCTGGCCAGGTCACATTCCCCTGTCCGGTCCCCAGGTGTCATCCTACGGGGGGATCCTCCGCTACGAACTGCACTCGGAGATCCCGCGGGGAGACGTGTTCCTCCCCACGGGGAGCAGGCCGGATGTGGTGCTGCAGGTGACCACTGGGGGCGGGGGTCGCAGCTGGGCAGGTGGGCGGGCATGGCGGAGCGGGACAGCGGGCAGCCCTGACCACGCACGTGCCTGCCTCCCCAGGGCAACCAGATGAGCATCATGTTCCTGGAGCCGGTGTACCCGGGGCCCGGCCAGGGGCACCGTGGACAGCTGCAGCTGGTGGAGGTGGGTGGCGCTGGCCGGGGGCCCGTGTCCCTCGAGGCCCCAGCGTGGCCCGGGAAAGGCCACAGGGGCCCACGACGGTTCTGCCCGCTCACGCCGGACAGCGGCCCCACGGTCACCTGGCCGCGCCTCTCTGGTTGCCTGGGGGCGATGCCCCCGGCCCGGGCTGGCTTCTGGTCCCTGCTCCCTGGCGGGCCCGTGGCTCCCCGCGCTGGGACCTGCCCGTGTCTTTGCCCCATTCCACTTTCTGCTGCTGGTCTGTTCCTTGAGAGGGTTCAGTGTCATTCCTGACACGTACCCCCGCCCAACGCCGGAGAAGTGGCCACCCTTCCCGGTTCGTAGCTCCTCTGTCCCCTCTCAGACGGCGTCGGACTAGCGGAAGTCCTTACGGTCCCTGTTCCCAAGTGTATGGACTTGTCACTGGCAGTTTAGCATTTCTGAGCTTCCTCTGCGACAGTGGCGGTTCCTCCGAGATCAGGAAATACTCACGCTCGTTTTTTTCTAAGAGCGCAAGCGCGTCATCTGTTTGACGCCCTGCCACACACAGCTGGGTTTTGTGCGCCACGGGGGGCGGGGGACCCCGGCGCCGCTTTACCCGCCTCCGTGACAGGTTGTTCCACCCCGAGGGTAGCCCCCTCCTGCCCCATGGGACCTGAGTGTCCCCGTCCCCGTGGGAGGGTCTGTTCTGGGCGCCGGCTCTGTCGCGCTGAGGCCCTGTGGCGGCCCCACAGGGTAACTTCCGGCATGCGGAGACCCACAGCGGCGTGTCCCGCGAGGAGCTCATGATGGTGCTGGCCGGCCTGCAGCAGCTGCAGATCCGCGCCCTCTTCTCCAAGGTCTCCTCGGCCGTCTCCCTGCGCAGGGTGGCGCTGGAGGTGGCCAGCGAGAGGGGTCGGGGGCCTCCGGCCAGCAACGTGGAGCTGTGCATGTGCCCGGCCAACTACCTCGGGGACTCCTGCCAGGTGAGGCGGGGCAGGGGCTGCGGCACGCGTGCCTCTCGCGTGCGCGTCCGCCCTCCCCCAGCGCCCGCTCTTGCCTTCCGCCCCTGCTAGTGCCACCCCATTTTTCTCTTGCACCCGCTGGGTGTCACCCTCCCAGCAGCCCGACCTTCCCGCCGGAGGCCCAGCCAGCTGCTTGGCCCACCGACCAGCCAACGCACTGTCACCCCGTGTCCCTGCCGGCCCTCGGTCCATGCTCTGCCCCTCCGTCTGCCCACTGGCCCGCGAGGCGGGCCTGTGAGCCCGGTCCCCGGTTGGCCCGGGATCGCGCTGGCCCCGCCTCTCTTCCTGATCTCGGGTGCCGCCCCCAGGAATGCGCCCCCGGCTCCTACCGGGACGCCAAAGGGCTCTTTCTGGGCCGCTGCGTCCCCTGTCAGTGCTACGGCCACTCAGACCTCTGCGTCCCCGGCGTGGGCACCTGCCTGGTGAGTGGGGCCTGGCGGAGGGAGGGCAGCCACCAAGGCACCCACGAGGGACCTGCGGGTCAGTGGTCACGGACACATGCCGGCGTGGGAGGCGCCTGGGCAGAGTCCCAGTGGGGTTGGGGGGGCGTGGACCGGACCCCGCTGGTGGGAAGCCGGCGCCCTCTGCGCTGACCCGTCCCCTCCACCGCAGGGCTGCCAGCACAACACCGAGGGCGACCACTGCGAGCGCTGCCAGGCCGGCTTCGTGCGCAATGGGTCCGCGGACCCCGCGGCCCCCTGCGTCAGCTGCCCCTGCCCCGTGTCGGCGCCTTCCAACAAGTGAGCTGGCCGGGGCGGCTGGGTGGGCGCCTGAGGCAGGGACACCGCTGCCTCCTGGAGGCCGGCCCAGCCGGGTACACGGGCGCCCCCGCGGGGGGTGCGGGCACCTGACGGCCGCCTCTGTCCCCGCAGCTTCGCAGTGGGCTGCGTCTTCACCGGGGGCCGCGCGCAGTGTCTGTGCAAACCCGGCTACGCGGGAGCCTCCTGCGAGCGGTGAGCCTGGCGGGTGGTGTGGGGGCGGGGGGGCGCGGCGGGCACAGCCACTCGGGCCGCTGACCCGCCAGCCCGCCCATGCCCCAGGTGCGCCCCCGGCTTCTTCGGGAACCCGCTGGTGCTGGGCAGCTCCTGTCAGCCCTGCAACTGCAGCGGCAACGGGGACCCCAACCTGCTCTTCAATGACTGCGACCCCCTGACGGGCGCCTGCCGCACCTGCCTGCACCACACCGCCGGGCCGCACTGCGAGACCTGCGCGCCCGGCTTCTACGGCAACGCCCTGCTGCCCGGCAACTGCACCCGTAGGCGCCGCGCCCCCGGGGGGCGGCCTGGCGGGGAGGTGGGGGTCCCTGGGAGCGGTGGGGCCCCCCGCCCCGTCAGACCACGGGCCGCTGCGGGGCTGGCCTCTGCTGGGTGGTCCCCGGAGGGCTGTGGCCCCTCCCTCTGACGGGCAGACAGTGAGGGGGCACCGGGGGCGCAGCATGTCGTGGCGTGGGAGGTGCTAACTCTGGGCCGGCCTGGGGCCGGGGACGGGGGTAACAGTGAGGGGCTCGGGGCTTCCCTGGGGACAGGTGGAGATGGGGCGGGTGGCCGGGGCGGGGGAGGGGAAGCAGGAGCTCCCTCCCCGTCTGTGGGCCGCAGGAGAGGCTGGGGCGGGGGGAGGGCTGCGGTCACAGCCCCGCCTCCTCCAGGGTGCGACTGCTCCCCCTGTGGGACGGAGGCCTGTGACCCCCACAGCGGGCGGTGTTTGTGCAAGGCCGGCGTGACGGGGCCTCGCTGTGACCGCTGTCAGGTAGGGCTGCCTGGGAGGGGCGGGGCCTGGGCTGGAGGGGCGGGGCCTGGGCTGGAGGGGCGGGGCCCTGGTGAGCGGGGCTGGAAACATAGGATTGAAGGCGTGGAAGAAGCAGAGTCGGGAGGGCTGGCGGGAGCTTTGACCACACCTGCGCCCACAGGAAGGACACTTCGGCTTCGAGGGCTGCAGGGGTTGCCGCCCGTGCGCCTGTGGACCAGCCGCTGAGGGCTCTGCGTGCCACCCCCAGAGTGGACAATGCCACTGCCGGCCAGGGGCTGGGGGGCTCCAGTGCCGAGAGTGTGCCGCCGGCCACTGGGGGCGCCCCGAACAGGGCTGCAGGCGTGAGTGCGGCTGGCGGGGCCCCGGGGGGTGGGGCCCCGGGGAGGCGAGTGCCCAGGGGCCCTCTGCCAGCCCCCCCACCTGACCCCGCCCTCCCGCGCCCCAGGCTGCCAGTGCCAGGGGGGCCACTGCGACGTGTACACAGGCCGCTGCACGTGCCCGCCGGGGCTCAGCGGGGACCGCTGCGACGCCTGCAGCCAGCAGCACCAGGTGCTGGTGCCGGGCGGGCCTGGGAGCCCGGGCGTGCACTGCGAAGGTTCGTCCCCGCCCCTCCCCTGCCCACTGACCTCGCCCACCGGCCCCCACTGTCCCGGCGGCCCTGCGTTAACCTCAGCTTTCAGAGGAGTCCTGCGGCCCCAACTCTCCCTCTCGGTTTTCCAAGGGACGCCATTCCTGTCCTTGTTACACTGCGCCCCGGATCCCCCGTGCTGACCCCTGACCCTCACCTTAGCCCAGCCTAGTGCCCCCATCCCAGCGCCATGACCCCGGGCGGACCCCCCGCCCCCCTCACCCCCGGCTCACCGGCCTCACCCGCCCGACCCGCCCAGTGTGTGACCACTGCGTGGTCCTGCTTTTGGACGACCTGGAGCGGCTCGGCGGCCTCCTGCCCGCCATCCACGAACAGCTGCGCAGCATCAACACCAGCTCCGCAGCCTGGGCCCGGCTGCACAGGCTGAACGCCTCCATCGCGGACCTGAAGGTAAGGGGTGGCGGCCCCCCGGCCTCCCCGGCGCAGGCTGCAGGCCCTCACGGTCCCCTCCCCACAGAGCCAGCTCCGGAGCCCCACCAGCCCCCGCCACGAGGCCGCGCAGCAGCTGGACACACTGGAGAGGCGGGGCGAGAGCCTCAGGCAGGACGCGCAGCGGCTGGACGGACAGGCAGGACCCCAGGACCCGGGGGGGCCCCTGTCCCTCAGCGGACTCCTCCCCTGGGCCCCAAACCATGCATCTCTCTCCTAACCATCCGCTCAGGCCTAAGGCCACTGCCCAGGCCCCCAGCCTCTCCCCATACCCTGCAGCCAGCAGAGGCCGTGGGCTGATGGGGTGCTGTGTCCACAGGCCGCAGGGGCCCGCGCGCAGGCCGGCCAGCTGCTGGACAGCACGGAGGCCACGCTGGGCCGGGCACGGACGCTGCTGGCCACCATCCAGGCTCTGAACCGGACCCTGAGCGGTAGGGGCTGGTCCGGGGGTGCCGGGAACAAAGCTCCGGGCTCGGAGTGGGGGCTGCCTCCGGGGGCTTGGCCTTGAAGACCTGGCCGGGCTTGGGTGTTTGAACGGGGCGAGGGCGGAGGCCGAGGCGGGAGGGGCGGCCGGTGTGGCCCGAGCAGGAGGGCGGGAGGACCCTGGGAGGTGGGCTGGTGCCCACCCAGCAGGCACCCTATCTCCCTGGGGAAACTCGCTGGTGAGCACCTTAATTACAAACGGGAATGCGTCACCCAGAGATCAGAGGGGACCCGGCCCAGCCCAAGGGCCTGGGAAGAAGCGCATTCAGCCGCGCTCCGGACCGGAGCTGGGGTGGCCCGGGCGAGGGGCCGGGGGAGCACGCGGAGCAGGCCGACAGCGGGCTGTCGGGGTGGGGCTGTGCGGGCAAGAGGAGGGGCCGGCCTGGAGCCGCCTGGGCTGTGCTGAACGTGCTCGCTCGGGCGGGGTCTTCGGCCGGAAGCTGGCAGGCTGAGGCCGGCCCTGGGCGTCACGGCCCCTCCTTAAACCCACAGAACTTGTGACAGACCACCTGTCGCCAGCCAATGCCACGGCCCCATCAGGCGAGCAGCTGCGCCGGACACTGGCCAAGGTGGAGCAGCTCCTCCGGGAGATGCGGGCCCGCAACCTGGGGGCCCCACGGGCAGCAGCCGAGGCCGAGCTGGGCGAGGCCCAGAGACGTGAGTGGGGGCTTTGGCCCGCAGGGCCGCGGTGGGAGGGGCGGGGGCTTGGCCGGCAGCCCTGGGGCTGAGGTGGGCACCAGGAGGCACCGCCCAAGTGACTGACCCCATGCCGGGTCTCCGCCAGTGCTGACCCGCGTGCAGGAGCAGCTGACCAGCCGCTGGGAGGGGAACCGGGCTCTGGTGGCCCACACCCGAGAGCAGCTGGCCCAGTACGAGGCCGGCCTCATGGACCTGCGCGAGGCCCTGAACCGGGCGGTGGGCACCACGCGTGAGGCCGAAGAGCTCAACAGCCGCAACCAGGAGCGCCTGCAGGAGGCCCTGGTGCGCCCCCCGCCCCCCCGCCCCTCCCGCCTCCCTGCCCCGCGGCCCCGCCTCACCCCCGTCACGCCTCCACCCCAGCCGCCCACCCCCTCGCCCCATCCTGTCTCTGCTTTTGTCTTCTCCTGTGCTCTCCGCATCCCCTCCAGCTTCGGAAGCAGGAGCTGTCCCGCGACAATGCCACCCTGAGGGACAGCATGCAGGCCGCCAGGGAGACCCTGGCCCTGGTCTCTGAGCTTCTGCAGGGCATGGACCGGGCCAAGGAGGTGAGCACCGAGCCCAGGGCTGCGTCCGGGGCGGGTGGGATGCCCTCCGCACGCAGCCCCAGCTGAGCAGGGAGGGGCGGGGCGGGGCTTCCACCGAGCCCCTCCGCCCCCAGGAGCAGGAGCGCCTGGCCGCCAGCCTGGACGGGGCTCGGGCGCCGCTGCTGGAGAAGATCCGCACCTTCGCCTCCATCGACAGCAAGGTGGACCTGGTAGAGGCCGCCGAGGCCCACGCGCAGCGGCTGGACCAGCTGGCGCACAACCTCTCCAGGTGCAGGGCCGGCCGGGGGCGGCCCAGGCCTTGACGGGGGCACCCTCAGCTGGCGGGCCCCAGAGGGAGGAGCCGTCGTCCTTCCGGGGGGAGGCCTGAGGGTCTCTGGCCCCGACCTAACGCGCTTGGACCCTCCCCTGCCCCACCACAGCATCATCCGCGGGGTTAACCAGGACCGCTTCATCCAGCGCGCCATCGAGGCCGCCAACGCCCACAGCAGCATCCTGAGAGCCGTGCAGGCTGCCGAGGGCGCCGCGGGCCAGGCGCTGGAGCAGGCCAGCCGCACCTGGGCGGTGAGGCCCCCCACGCCCCGCCCCCACCCGGGGGGCCCTGCGTCCCCCTCCCAGCTCCCACTGCACGGGTGTGACCTCGGTCCTGTTCCTCTGTCTGCAGAAGGTGGTACAGCAGGGCCTGGCTTCCCGCGCCCGGGAGCTGCGGGCCAACAGCAGTGCCCTGGGGGAGGCCGTTCTCGGGGAGCAGCGGAGGCTGGGCCGCGGTGAGTGCCGGCTGCGCCGGGGCTCGGCAGGCACCTCTCAGTCTCTGGGCACACGCGTGGGGGTTCGTGCATGGTCACGGAGGTGGCTGCCCTCCACTGGCTCAGTGTGCCCACCCCTGGGAGCCCTGGCTTTGTGAGGAGACCCTCGGACGGTGGAAGCGCCCGAGCCAGAGGACGGGGACCAGCTGGTGGTCCCTGTTGCCGTCCTGGCTCAGGGGCCGTGGGCGGGGGGCAGGCTGCCGCGCGAGAAAGGGCTGGCCGGCGGTGGGGCGGGGCTGTTGCTGGAATCGTGGCCAATGGCTGGGCTTCCCTGAGCCTCGGGGGTTCAACCGTGAAATGGGGGCGGCTCCATTTTGCTGTGGGACCAGGAGGCCCAGGTGCAGACTTCCCTGTATGTCTCTGTGCATGTCAGCCCCGGTCCCCCCGGTCAGGAGGGCCAAGGGGGGCTGCACCCAGGTGCTGCGGGCAGGGGCTCCTAGGGACTGAGGCTGCCTCCCCCGCAGTGTGGGCCACCCTCCAGGGCACCGGGACCCAGCTCAGCGATGCCCGGGCCAGGAAGGAGCAGCTGGCAGCCCGGGTCCGGGAGGTGCAGGCCATGCTGGCCATGGACACAGGTAAGCGGAGCCCCCCGGCTCTTGCCCTGACTGCTCGTCCCCCCAGCGAACAGGCACCTGCCCCACAGGAGCGTTGCTGCAGCCAGCGGCCCGGCGGGGGGCTCTGGTGGGGGACCCGCCCCCACCTGCGCCGTCCGAAATGGCGACCAGGGTGGGCGGAGGGAATCCCGAGGTGGGCAGCCCCGGCTCCCTGGGGACCTGCCGCTGGTCGGGAGATAAACGCCGACAAAACAGACCCACGTAGCAAGTGGAAACCGGAAGGGAGACCCAGCGCTTTGGAGAGGACACTGGGCGTGGGGGGCCGGTCCGGAGGCGGGGTGGGCACGCGGGGAGGGGCCGAGGCGGCTCGGAGCGGAGGAGCAGCACGTCCGGCCCCGTGTGGCTGCCCGCTCCAGCGTGGGAAACTGGGCAAGCCTGGGCGTGGGGGCCGCGGGGACTCTGGCAGGGCCACGGGAGAGATGGCAGGGGCACTGCGGGGAGACCTGGCTGAGCTGAGGCCTCAGGGTGACCCCGCTCGGGTCCAAGAGTTCGGCGCCATAGGAGCCACCCCGGGGGAGGCAGGATAGGGCGCGGGCATCCGTGTTCTCAGTGTCCCCATTGCTGGTCGTCGCGGGGGGTCCTCAGCCGTCGCCCCGGTGGGAGACGAGGCTAGCGCGGCCTTCACTGCGCCCTGCCAAGCCTGCCCACTGGCCCCCACAGACGAGACCAGCAAGAAGATCGCCCATGCCAAGGCTGTGGCCGCTGAAGCTCAGGACACGGCCGCCCGCGTGCAGTCGCGACTTCGGGACATGCAGAGGAACCTGGAGCAGTGGCAGGGCCAATACGGGGACCTGCAGAGCCAGGACCTGGGCCAGGCGGTGCTCGATGCCGGCCGCTCAGGTGGGCCCCTGCCTCCCTGCGCCCCCCTTCCCGCATGCCAGGTCCCCGCGGGCGGGCGGGCGGGCGGGCGAGCAGCAGGAAGCACAGGTCTCAGGGCCCACTCCCCTCCCTGCAGTGTCCACGCTGGAGAAGACGCTGCCGCAGCTGCTGGCCAAGCTGAGCCTCCTGGAGAACCGTGGGGTGCACAACGCCAGCCTGGCCCTGTCCGCCAGCATCGGCCGCGTGCGGGAGCTCATCGCCCAGGCCCGGGGCGCTGCCAGCAAGGTGGGCACGAGAGCGGGGCGCGGCAGGGCGCCTGGGAGGCGGCCGGTGGGTGCCGACCGTCCACACAGCACTCACCGTGCACCCTCCACACAGGTCAAGGTGTCCATGAAGTTCAATGGGAACTCGGGGGTGCAGGTGCGCGCCCCCCGGGACCTCGCCGACCTCGCTGCCTACACCGCGCTCAAGTTCTATCTCCAGAGCCCGGAGCCGGAGCCAAGCCAGGCCTACAAGAACCAGTTCGTGCTGTACATGGGCAGCCGCCAGGTACCAGGCGGTGCGGGGGGCGGGCTGGAGGCTGGCGTCTGACGGGAGCGGGCAGGCTGGCCCTGCCGGGCCCCTGTCCCACCGGGCCTCCCACCCACACAGGCCACGGGCGACTACCTGGGTGTGGCTCTGCGTGACCAGAAGGTGCACTGGGTGTACCGCCTGGGAGGCGCAGGCCCCGCCAACCTCAGCGTCGACGAGAGCATCGGGGAGCAGTTCGCAGCCATCAGCATTGACAGGTGGGAACCCGCCCGCCCCGTTGCTTCCCCCGCCCCTGCCGGGACCGCGGGTCCACGCAAACCCCTTGGCTCTGCCCTCAGGACCCTCCAGTTTGGCCACATGTCTGTCACAGTGGAGAACCGGATGGTCCACGAGACCAAGGGCGACACAGTGGCCCCTGGGGCCGAGGGGCTGCTCAACCTGAGGCCCGACGACTTCGTCTTCTACGTGGGCGGCTACCCCAGCAGCTTCACGGTGAGCCTGGCCGGGTCCGGGCCGCAGCCGCCCCGCCACGCGCTTGTCCCCGCGAGCCCTGCTGGGGCCTGGCTTCGGCCCGTGCTGCTCCCCTTGGGCCTGGCCCGGGCGGGGGGTGCTGAGCGCGCACTGTGCCCGCAGCCCCCAGAGCCGCTGCGCTTCCCCGGCTACAACGGCTGCATTGAGATGGGCACACTCAACGAGGAGGTGGTCAGCCTCTACAACTTCGAGAGGACCTTCCAGCTCGACACGGCCGTGGATAAGCCCTGTCCGCGGTAGGCGCGGCCCCGTCCTCCCCTCGCCCCGCCCCTCCCGCCCCCAACCCGGACCGCCCTCCGCTGACCCCTGCGACCTCTGGCCCGCAGCGCCAAGTCGACTGGCGACCCGTGGCTCACGGATGGCTCCTACCTGGAGGGCACCGGCTTTGCCCGCATCAGGATGGATAGTCCGGCCAGCAACACCAAGCGCTTCGAGCAGGAGCTGAGGCTGGTGTCTTCCAAAGGGATCATTTTCTTCCTGCAGCACCAGGCAGGCCCGCAGGCCCCGCCCAGTTCATCTCGCCCGCCCCCCTGCTGGCCCCGCCCCGTCCTGGGCTGACCCCGCCCAATTTGTCGACCCCGCCCGCCCTGCCCACCCTGCGGGCCTGCACCGCCCTGCGCTGAGCCCGCCCACCCCACAGGACCAGTTCCTGTGCCTGGCGGTGATGGACAGTCGCCTCCAGCTCCTCTATGACTTCGGCGAGGGCCTGAAGGAGGCTGTCCCGCTGCATCCCCTGCCGCTCCTGACCTCGGCCAGCAAGGCGGTAAGGCTGGAGCCGGCGGGGCGGGATGGGGCCGGGCCGGCCAAGGACGCCGCAGGCTCTGAAGCCGCGGGCCCTGCCGTCCAGATCCAAGTGTTACTGCTGGGAGGCGGCCGCAAGCGCGTGCTCGTGCGCCTGGAGAGGGTCACCGTGTTCAACCTGGACCAGGAGAACGCGCTGGAGCTGGCCGACACCTACTACTTGGGGGGCGCGCCACCGGAGCAGCTGCCCCCGAGGTGAGCGCGTGCAGGGCAGGCAGGGGGCACCCCTCCCCGCCCCAGGGCCAGGCCCCAACACTCGCTTGCCCGCAGCCTGCGGCGGCTCTTCCCCTCCGGGGGCTCGGTGCGTGGCTGCGTCAAGGGCATCAAAGCGCTAGGCAAGTACGTGGATCTCAAGCGGGTGAACACCACAGGCATCAGCGCCAGCTGCACCCGGGACCTGCTGGTGAGCCGAGCCCCGCCCCGCGCCCGCCCACGCGCGCCCGCCCAGGGCCGCCTGGTGCTCACTGTAGCCCATCTGCAGGTGGAGCGGGCCATGACATTCCACGGCCACGGCTTCCTGCCCCTGAGGCTCCCCGACGTCCCGCCCCTCACCGACTCCGTCTACTCTGGCTTCGGCTTCCGCAGCGCCCAGGAGAGCGGCCTGCTCTACCACAGGCTGTCCCCGGTGCGTCCCGCTCCCCCCACCTCCAGCTGCCCGCCAGCTCCTCCCCACCTCTGCCCGGCCCCGCCCCCACGGGTGTGACCTGCAGCAGCCACAGCCTGGGGCCCTGTGGCTGGAGGGAGTAAGCCTGGGGCCCTGGCTTGGTCTGCTGACCTGGCCACTGTCCCCAGGATGGGCCGTGCTACGTGTCCCTGCAGCAGGGCCACGTGACCCTCCAGTTTTTGAGGACGGAGGTGAGGACACCAGGGGGCTTTGCTGACGGAGCCCCCCATTATGTCACCTTCTACAGCAACGCCACAGGGTGAGCCGGGCACGGGGCGGGGGACCGGGGGCCGGCCTGCTGCGGGCGGGCCGGGCGTGGGGGGCAGGGTGAGGAGACACGGCTCTCCCCACAGGGTCTGGCTCTACGTGGACGACCAGCTTCAACAGATGGTGCCCCACCGGGGGCCGCCCCCCCGGCCCCCGGCCCGGCCCGAGGAGCCCCGCCAGCTCCTCCTGGGAGGCCTGCCGGAGGTGGACACCTTCCGTAACTTCAGCGGCTGCATCAGCAACGTGTTCGTGCAGCGGTGAGCTGCGTGGGGTGCGGGGAGGCAGGTGCTGCCGCCCCGCCGGGCGCCTCCTCCGCCGCTGACTGCCCTCCCCCGCCCTCCCCAGGCTCGAGGGGCCCCAGCGAGTGTTCGACCTGCAGGAGAACCTGGGGGCCGTCAACGTGAGCTCGGGCTGCGCCCCGGCCTCCAGCACCCAGACAGGACTTGCATCTCAGGGGCTGCTGGCCCTGGCGGCTCGGAAGGTGGGCACCGGGGGTGGGGGTGGGGTGGGTGGAGCTGGGGGTGGGCCAAAGGCAGCCGCCGAGCACCCCTGCATCCCCATCTGACCCCGCAGGCCTCCCGGCGCAGCCGGCAGCCTGCCCAGGACCCAGCCTGCACGCCACAGCCCCTCGGGATCATCCGGGGCACCTACCAGTTTGGGGGACCCTTGTCCAGTTACCTGGAGTTTACAGACATCCCCGCGCCCTCTAGCAACCGGTAAGGCCAGGCCAGGTGGGGCGCGTGCGGGGGGGCCACCCGAGCTGACACCCTGCTTGGCTTCCAGGTTCCACCTCTCGATGCTAGTGCGTCCCCGCTCGCGAAGCGGACTCCTGGCCCTCGCTGTGCCCCTGACGCCTGGCAGCCCCGCCCTGGCTCTCTCCCTGAGCCACCGGTACTTTGTGGCCCAGACAGAAGGCGGCCCTGGGCCCCAGCTCCGGGTCCAGAGCCGCCGGCGTTGGCAGGCTGACCGGTGGCACGAGGTAAAGGCCCGGAGGGAAAGGATCTGGGCGGGGCTCAGGGAGCTCCCCGCCTCACGTGCCTCTGCCCGCCCCCAGGTGTCCGTGCGGTGGGACAGGACCCAGATCCAGCTGGGCGTGAACGGGGTCTGGGTCCGGAGCCGAGAGGAGCCCGGCAAGCAGCCCCAGGGGGCGGAGGCCCCCCAGCCCCACACCCTCTTTGTGGGGGGTCTTCCTCGCAGCAGCCAGCACAGCCACAAGCTCCCGGTGAGGATGGTCCCCCCAGCGAGCCTCCCCACCCGGTCCCCAGCGCAGCCAGACCAACCCACCCTCCCCGGCAGCCCCCGATCCTGACCCCAGGTGACCCGCCTGCACCCCTCAGGTGGGTGCGAGCCGCTCCCGGTTCAGCGGCTGTGTGAAGAGGCTGGTGCTGGGCGGGCAGCTCCTGAGGACCCCCAGCGCGACGGTGGGGGTCACGCCCTGCCTCTCGGAGCCCTGGGAGCCGGGCCTCTTCTTCACCGGCGGCAGGGGAGCCCTCACTCTAGGTCTGTCGGCTGGCCCCACTCCCTGCATGCCCTGGGCGGGGTGTGGGGAGCCAGGGCCACGGGGGAGGGGCCGGGGCGGCCCCTCCCGCCTCACAGCCCCTCCCTGCAGACACCCTGGAGACGGCCCTGCCCAACGTGAGCCTGAAGCTGGAGGTGCGGCCCCAGGCGGCCACGGGCCTCATCTTCCACCTGGGCCGCCTCTGGACACCCCCCTACCTGCAGGCGCAGGTGCAGGAGAAGCAGGTAAGCCGGGGGGCTGTGCCCAAGGGGCCGAGGGGGCTGGCAGGGCCCCCAGTGACGGCCCCCGACCGCAGGTGCTGCTGTGGGCGGACGACGGAGCGGGCGCCTTCTCCACGGCGGTGACGCTCCCCGGGGCGCTGTGTGACGGGCAGTGGCACCAGCTGGCGGGTAGGCCGTTCCCCCCCCCGCCCCGCCCCGTGACCAGAGACGCCCTTGAGCCCAGCGGCGGGGCCTGGGAGGGGGAGGCTGGGAGGCCAGGGCCCTCCCCGATCAGCCACCGGCTGCCTGTGCCCGCAGTGACCAAAGGCGGGCGCGCCCTGCGGTTGGAGGTGGACTCCCAGAGCAGCCAGACCCTGGGTCCCGCGCCGGCGGCCTCACACCGCACCCCGGTGCCCCTGCGCCTTGGGGGCCTGCCTGGTGAGTGAGGCCTTGCCTGGGGGGGGGGGTGCCCCTCGGGGACCAGGCACGGGGTCGCCCTGCTCTCCGCCCACGCTCCCGTCGTGGGACGCCCGTGGGAGACCCGTCCATGCTCCAACCCCCTCCCCCCTCCCCCGCACCCCAGAGCTCAAGGACACCCAGGACGGGCCCCCCACGCCGCCACACCCGTGGCCTCCGGCCTTCCAGGGCTGCATGAGGAATCTGACGGTGAACCGGTCCTTCGTCACCTTGCCTCGCTCCGTGGGTGTCCAGGGTGCAGTGGGGGCTGCTGGCTGCCCGGCACAGCTGCCCCTCAGGGACGCCAGCCGGGCGGGCGGGCCTTCAGGGCATTCACACCGAGCACGCGGGCGGGGCCCTGCCTCTCGGAGAACCCGCACCCCCGAGCAGCCGGCTGCTGACGCCACCCCCAGCCAGTTCCGTAGATGAAGTGTGTGCGGGTTTCTCTAGACTCTGTGGGTGACCGTGTTCCTGGAAGTGGTTTAAGTTATGTCTTTTTAAAGATGGTAAAATAAAATTGGGGTTTTATACCTTTTATCTTTGCTTATAATTGAGATTTTCCTTCAACCGATTTTTAATAGTTTGAGAAGTCTGTAAGTCACTGGCCTCTTTTCTTAAAACATAAACTAAAAAGGAACTCAGTTAACTGAGTGCTGACTAGGTTTAAGAGCGCGCTGCCAGCCGGGCCACGGGCACAACCGCCCCAGGCCTTCTACCCTTTAGCCAGACCCAGAAGCACCAGCGCGCGCCCGTCCAGCAAGGGGATGGGGCTGGCACAGCAACCCCCGGGCGCAGAGGAGCCAGAGTTGTCAGATAAAAGACAAGACCTTTATTTATCAGCAAGTCGGGGCAGGGCGTGAGGGCACGTGAGGGGCCGCAGACACCGCTCACCCGCACGGCGGAGAGCCCCGCCCCGTAAAAGACGGCGAATAACTTAGTCTAAGCTCATGTCCTCCTCCTCGTCCTTCTTGTCCTTCCCGTCGCCCTCCGGCTCCGACCTGGCGCCGCTCTGCATCGCTTTGGCAAATGCTTCCACATCTACAAGGCGGGGAGGGCGTGAGGCCGCCTTCCTGGGCCCCAGCCCACACACGCCGACCGAGGCCGTAGGGACAGCCAGCCCACGCAACACACATGCCAGGGGCAGAGGAGCGGGGCTCTTCAACCGCCGGGGGCGGGGGATGGGCTGCGCCGCAGGCGGCCGGGCAGGCACTTACCCCCTTTGTTGGCGGCCTCCACAGCCTCTGCGGGCAGACCGAACTGGCACATGAGGGGGCCCAGCTGCCCCGAGGCCAAGGCCGCGCTGAACATGCCCAGGGCCTGCAAGGAAGAGCCAACACCTCTGAGCAAGCCCAGGGGAGGGGGGCACCCACTTGGGCAGGGCCCAGAGGCACTGAGGGCCCGGGCCGCAGCGGGCACAGGCGCCACCGGCCACGAGCATCCCACGGCGGCACACCTGCTGGAACTGCGGGGAGGTCAGTGTGTTCTGGATCTCCTCCGCGGTCTGCGGCAGCGACTCCCCGGAGGGCAGGTAGGGCAGAAGGCGCTCCTGGACGTCCGCGTTGGCAAGGATAGGCGCCATGATCTCAGGCGTCAGGACACTGGCCAGGTCCACTAGGGAGTGGGCACGCGGCTGTCAGGGGCTGGGGGCGGGCCCCGCACCCATCAGAGGCTGAGGCCGAGGGTGGGGTGAGACGCGGGGGCGGGGCAGGGGCGCAGAGGCTGGGCCTCGGAGAGCCAGTGCGCGCGAGCGAGCGGGGGCGGCGGGCACCTTCACCCTCTGAGCTGAGGAGCACGCGGTACCTTGCTGGCCGCCTCCTGGCCCGGCCGGCACGTTCATGGTGGCAAGGATGCTCTGGAGGTCGCTCAGCTGGATGGGCTGGGTCGGGCTGGCTGCCGTGCTGGTTCCATTACCTGAACTGGGCGCGGGGCTCGGGCTGGTTGCCGAGGCGGCTGCTGGAGCAGAAGGGGCTGGGGTGGCGCGGGCGGAGGAGGTGGTGGAGGATGGGGTGACCGCTGCCGACTGGCTCCGGGAGCTGGGAAGAGCAGGGCAGCTGGAGCCACCGGGCACCCCCACAGGCCCCACACCACGCTGGCCCTGCCCCAAAGGCCTTTGCGGTGCGGGGGTCTGGGAAGAACCTGGGCCGTGGGAGGACCCTTGCAACACCTGTCTTGTCCCGCGTCTCCTACGTCCAGGCTCCCTGGGGAAGGAGCCCCTGGTGGCACCAAGGGGGCGCGGGGGCTTGGGGGGGCGCTCACCTGGACGAAGAGCTGCTCGCTGGAGGCCCTCCGCTCCCCAGCAAGCTGGCCAGGCCCGGCCCGGTCAGGGCGCCCAGCCCACCTACGAGGAGCAAGGGGCATGCTCACTGGCTGCACGCGCCTGGGGGTCTGCCTCCCCCGCCCCCGGAGCGGAAAGGCTGGCACGGGAGCCGAGGGGCAGGGGCCGCTCAGCCGGGCAGCCCACTCCATTCGCTCCCCAGGGGCCAGCGTGAAGGCGGTGCGAGTCCAGCACAAAGCAGCGCGTGCGCCCCACTGCCCGGGGGCGCAGCCACCGAGACCCCCGCGGCCGGTGGCGGGGCGGAGCCCCCAGTGGAGCGTGTGCCCGCAGGCCCCTCCGCAGCCAGCTGTGCTCCCCGGGAGCCCTGGAAGGCCTGCCCGCCCGGCTGCCGCCGCGCAGGCCCTCCGCGAGGACAGCCTCCCGGACGCCAGTCAGAGCCAACTGGAAACTTGAGGAGCAGGTGCGCGCACGCGAAAGCAGCCCCCACCAGAGACCCCCCGGGCTTCAGGCAGGGCCGCGGGGCCGCGGGCATTACCCAGTCCTCCGAGGCCGGCCGGTCCGATGAGCTGCATGAGCTGGCTGTGGCTCATGTTCCCCAGCAGGCTCTGCAGGCCGCCCTCGCCTGCAAGAGCAGGGCAGGGGCAGGGGGCGCGCTCAGATGGGGCGCTGGGGCCCTGGCCGCCCCTCCAGGGCTGTCGCCTGAAGTGAACCCCGTGGTGGGGCCCTGTCCTCTCCTGTGAGAGCGGCAGTGGGGACGGACCGGGAACTGGGGGGAGGGCTTCTCGCGCGGCCCCCTCGTTTCCATGTGCAAACCACGGTCCACACCCTCGGGGCACCACGCGCCCAGCGCCCCCCGGACGCAGCCCCCGGCCCGCTGGGGAGGGAGCATACCGCCCAGCGCAGACAGCTCGTGGCCGCCGCCCCCGCCGGCCCCCAGCGCGCCGGGCATCGGTGGGTTGTTCAGGCACTCGTTCACCTTCCGGCAGTGCTCCTCGTCCTGGTCCGTCTTGGGCTCCTGCGGGGGGCGGGACAGCACCCCGGCTGAGCAGCCCGCCCTCCACGGCACGGGCTTCCAGGTGAGGGGCCTGGGCGCGGGCAGGCGACGTCGCCCGTCCACGGTCCCACGGCGCCCAGCGCAGGCCCAGCAGTCCCGCACCACGGACCGCGTTCTACAGACCAAAGGCTAAGCGTGCGCGGCACACCAGGGCAAGGCCCCGTCCTGCAGGGCCAGGGGCCCCACGTGGCCGCCGGCGACCTTGAGCCTTCCTCAGATGCCACGGGAGGGCGCTGCCCACAGCCCGCGGGGCAAGCAGGCACAACAAGGAGTCCCTGGGGTTTCGGGGGTGGCCGGGCAGCGCCCCCTCAGCGCCCAGAATTGCGAGGCAAAGCGCCCAGAGCTCATTGGTCCAGCAGTCGCTGAGCACATGTTGGGGACACGGACACAGGACAGGCGGGCAGCGGGAGGGGAGCCGCCACGCGAGCCAGACTGGGAGGACCGGCCAGGCCAGCACTGCGACCGTCTGGGGGATTTCTTGGCAAAACTGGGAAACGAGCCCCACCCCGGCGGCTGCCCCAGGCGCCCCCGTCCGGACACAGCCACGTCCCGCCGCCTCCGCACAGGCCCCGAGACCAAACCCTTCCTGCCAGCTCAGCCTCTGGGAGGGGTCGCGGCAGCACCTGTCACGCTGCACGCCACGCGTGCCCGCTGCTCGTAAAGCCACGCCCACGGTCTACCCCACAGGCTGCGCTCACACACGGAGGCAGCCCTAGCGCGGGGTCCCCCTTCACGCCGCTGCCTGTCACGGAAGGACTGGGACCGGCCAACAGCCGGCCGCTGGCAGAAGTACGGCAGCAGCTCAGCTGGGCGGGAGGCTGCCTGCCACCTCCCTGGACGCCCTGCACAGGACGCCGTGCTTCCGTCAGAGGCGCAGCGCGGAGACCACAAGCAGCCGCCCCTGCTTCGGCCCTGGGGTCCCCATGACCCTCGAGGGGCACCAGGAGACAAGCGAGCCAGAGGCCACGTGCCCTTCGAGGCCCGGAGGTGGGGCCCAGCCTGGAAGCCCGTGTCTGCCTGCCAGGGCATCCCCCGCCTGGAAGGGCACTCAGGCCCGGCCACACCTGTCAGGCTCTGGAAGGGGCCCCCCTTGCCCCCACGAGGGCCACACAGGGACCTCTGAGGTGGCACACAGGCCCGGTCAGTCCGCGCCAGCCAGTTATAAAAGCCAATTCTGCCACCTGACGAGCAGGTCTCTGACCTCATTTCACAGCAACCAGAAAAAACAAAATGCAAACAAAACCTCCTACACACCTGCATCCAGAAGAAGAGTCGTTTGGACCCCGCCTTGAACTTGAGCACGTAGACGCGCCCACTGGGGCACTGCGGGACGCGCTTGAACTCACAGTCATCAGGGAAGATGATCAAATCCTGCAGCAGCCACGGGGGGGAAGGAGTCAGTGTCACAGAAACACGTCCTTGGGTCCCAGGGCCTCCCAGGGTACACGCTGGGCCTGTCTCCACGTGCAGCACAGCGGCAGCAGGGGCCCACAGGACCGAGCTCCTCACCAGCAGGGCCCCCACAGGGCGGCCGAGCCAGGGTCAGAGGCCCCAGCAAAGGGCGTGAGGGCCAGTCACGGGGCCTCACACTGAGCTGGGGAAAGGGGACCTTCGACTCTTGGAAGGACTTGTTATTAGAGACATGGCGGGAACAGCGTTCCAAGATAAGTCAAGAAGCCAACTGTGACCTGCCGTTGAACCCAGAGCAACTCAGTCTGGAGGATAAAGGACACCGGGTCAGCTGACCCCTGGAGGCGGCCGTCTGGGTGGCGGGTCAGCACGTTTGCAAGGCGGCTGCAGTTCTGAGCCCTAACCAACCCTCAGAGCTTAAGGGGCCTGCAGTGCCGGGAGAAACCGAGACGCTCGGCGGGGCTGAGGCGACCCAGGAGCAACCCCTGAGCAGCGCCTGGGGGCAGGACACCGGCAAACCCACCCCCCACACCCTCTGAGGCCCGCACGGGCGCCACGCGGCTGTCCCCCCAGAGGAAGGGCAGGCCGCCGGCGCCCCAGCGGCCAGGTGCAGCCCTCGCGGGCAGAGCCGCGCGGACACTCACGTCTTCCACGTTCCCAGAAGTCCTGTCCTTCCAGCAGAAGTGAATGAGGGAGTCATCGGTCTGCTGGATGTACACGAGCCCTTTCCTTTTATCAGGGGTGACGGTAGTTCCTTTCAACGACATTTTTCCTGCCC